AATTATGCAAAATATGCTTGAAGAAAAGTGAATACGTATGAGAATGGCATCTCCATGGCAACTACCCTCTTGCTTACGTTATATTTGCTAGATATCATAATGCATATTTGGAAACTCTGTGCAAGTGAAATCCTAAATATAAACAAGTGGTCTCAAATTTCATGGGTGTTGGTAATTAGGTTCTTATTAAAAGTTAGCGTGAACATCAGAGAGGACCTGCTCCGTATAACAAGAATAATGTTATTATAAATACTACCAGTAAAGGGACACCTGTCATCGTACTGATGTCATAGAGTATATATCGAATGGAATAAAGAATATTTTCTAATTAGAAAACTAGCATAGTAGCTAGCTCTCAGTATCAAGACAAATGTAAGTGTTGATATTTTGAGAATACTTTTGTGGTGCGGTGTTATTCGTGATTCAAGATATATGGTACACCTTTGTGATAGGATAATGTAGAGTACCTGAGAGAGATATTCTCCTCTATTAGTCTCTTCTTGTTTTGCGTCTTTTAATTAGGGCATTTTATAATACGATAATGGATCGTTCTCTTTATATTGTACATAGTTTACATATTATAAAACATTCAAAGCTCTCTATATATTATATTAAGAGCTTCTTTTTATATCATTTTGTAAAGATCTTCATTTCATCGATCACGCCACGTCCCATAAAGCCACGTGCCATCATGAGATTTGAAGATATCAGGTGATAAAATATGCATAAAGGTCTTTCTTTACGTATATTAAAATTTAGTGTGAAATATATTACTCTTAATTTCTGACAAAATGGTTGGTATCTGTTTAGTTGAGTTAGGGGTGGCGCCCTTAAATGCCCCTAAGTACCGCAATATTTGCAAAAAGATGTAACTTTTGTCAGATGATTTTCTCCAAGTTTAAAGTCTTTCCCTTTAAATATAATTATATTTAAAGGGAATAGTTTCAACTAGTTGCAATAATTGTCAAAGGGATAGATTGGATAGCTTAACAATAATACAACTATTTATCTGCAACCATGACTGCCATATTATATACACATAACGAATTCATTAGAGGAATTGTAGCTGAATGTTTAGTAAATTACTTCAAATTAGACATCAAAATTATCGAGATTACACAAGATGTCGACGCTTTTCTTAAGAACTTCCCATTGAAGGCAATTCCGGGCTTAATTACATCTGATGGCTCCAAATATCATGAGCAAATTGCTGTAAACAATTATATTATTCATTTGACCGGAAACAAAGAAGAAATCGCCAAATTATTGAGTACATGTGATAATTACCAGGAACAAAGTGCTATTCTTCAAATATGTTCCTTTGTTACGTCCGATTTCTTGAATACTTTGGTATTATGTGGTCTTAAGGATGTAAAAGGTGTTCCCATCTCTACCGAAACAGAAAAAAATGCTGGTGAGACTCTGGAGATTATGTACAAATTGTTTGAAGAAAAACTAGTTAAACACAAGTTCTTAGTGAACGATTCCATCACTGTAGCAGATCTTGTAGCAGCTGCTAGTTTTTCATTCGGGTTCCTTACTTTTCTTGATGCTGAATGGAGAAAGAAACATCCTTTAATCTCTCAATGGTTCCACAACGTTGCTGGATCCAAATATATGGAATACCGTTTCAAAGATTTTAAGTTTATTGACAAAGCAATCAAAGTTTCTTCAACCCCACTACCATGGTATCCTAAAAATTGAGTTTAACATTCAATTTAAATCACATCTCTATATCTATATATGTTATTTGTTATATCCTTTTCCTTTTTTAACTAAAATCCAGTTATCCCCGGTTGTACTCTTTTCTTCAGAGAAGCAAAATCAATGCTCTTTTTTTTCTCTTCGTTCAGTTTTTCAATGCATCACTTTAGAGGCTTATCTCCGTCCAGCCTCTAAGCAGCATCCATGAAAGTTTCAACCCCTCCAAACAAAGGTAAACAACATGAACAATGTTGGATTACAGGGTTTATAAGTCCGTCTTTGACCCCACCCCCACATATGTCGGGATTATGTAAGAGGCAATCTGATTTTTATTGCCTCTATTCTAAGGAAATTTTGTTGCTGTTATGTTTTTATCATTCTTCAATTGTTATAAATAGGAGCAAAAGGATACATATATTGTGATTTTTTGTTAATCGTGGTTGAATCAAAACTAAGCTAAACAAAACAAAGTAATCAGTCTTCAACCATGCCTTCCTTACCCTTAAATGTTGGTATTGTCGGTACCGGTATCTTTGCTAGAGATGACCACTTGCCTGCTTATCAAAAGAATCCTGAACACTTCAAAGTCACTGCTGTCTTCAATAGAACCAGAGCTAAAGCTTTAGAATTTGCCAAACTGGCCCTTGTTCCTGGAGAGAAAGTGTATTCTACCCTGGATGAAATTATGAACGATCCTCAAATCGATTACATTGATGCCTTATTACCAGTTCAATTCAATGTCCAAACCCTTCAAAAGGCCATTGAATATAAAAAGCCAATTATTATCGAAAAACCAATTGCAGCCACAATGGAACAAGCTAGAGAATTTGTCAAGATTGCTGAAACCACAGATATTCCAGTTGCTATTGCAGAAAATTGGTTGTCCTTATCTGTTGTCCAAGAGGCTAAAAGACATATTAGTAGAATTGGTAAGGTTATTGGATTTAGTCATAACTTCACCGGTCCAAACTCGAAGGGCGGTAAATATAAGGCTACTAGTTGGAGACAACATGCAGAACATCTAGGTGGATCCCTTTCCGATGGTGGTGTCCATCAGATTGCCATTCTTACCGATCTTCTTGGTGAGTTTGACTCCGTGTCTGCTTTTACTACGAAGGTCGATACTAATGATGAAATGCCCGATGCTGTATTTGCAGTGATTAAGTTGCAGTCTGGTGCAGTTGGTAACTATACATATGGTACTCGTTTTGGTGCGACAAAGAAAGCTATCTATTTGAAAGTTTATGGTCAAGATGGGTCTGTTCTGTTAGAGTTAAACAACAGAGACGAGCCCGTTATCAGAGTGAACATTGGTGATAGCAAAGAGAGTGCATCTGAAGAAGAAGTTTATGCTGTAAAACAAGATAACACATATGGTGTGGGTGCAGAAATGCTAAACTTTTATGAAGCAGTTACTAAGAAGGATAAAACTTTAATTAGAGCCACTCCAAGAATTGCATTCCACCACTTGGCCTGTATTAACGCATTCTTGAAGTCATCAAATGAAAATGGTAACAACGTAAAAGTTGAAACTATCTGAGTCTAAGGTTCCAATTCTTAAATATTTGCTATATCTCGTCTCTTTTTAGTACCTTTATTATTTCTATTATTGTGTATCAATCAATGCTTTTCATTACGATGGTATTCTAATTAAATACATCGAAGGCTATAGTTTAATATCGCTCTTATAGTCATATATATCATTGTTGTTTCTGGGTTATACATATTCAGGGCTCATTTTTAAGTATTCCATGATTGTTTTTATGAGGATTGCAATGATTATTCAGAAACAATAGAATATCAGGACAAAACTTCAATCAACATATCAAGAATAGTCTAAAATTGTAATAATTATAGATTAAAACTTGTCCTTAATTGTATTTTACCGTTTGAATATTTGTAAAAACGATTGAGTTTATGTTATATTAAATCCCATTAAAAATGTTCCCCACGTGTTGCATCGCAGGTTCTAATTTGTTATTGTCTAATCAATGATAGGTTTTCTCAATTATAGTTTTTTTGGTTCTGATTTATTGAACCTCAAATATGGGAATAAAAAGTGAAGCACGTACTCCCAATAGGATACGTCACAAAGGTTATCAAGTTCCTGTTTGATGCATAGCAATACTTCCTTTTATTTCCAAAGTCAATGATTGGGTACTCTATTCACGTTAAAAACAAAACAATATTAATTTGTATTCAGATTTGCTAATGTGTAAATATCATATTTTTATGGACCTCAATTCATCTAGTTTTCTTTATCTTCAAGTATTACAAGAAATCTCCGTAGTATTACCCAACTTAAAATATTTTCACTTATACTACATTTACAGAAGGAGAATCCAACTAATGTTTGCACTTCTTTGTTAGATCCTATAGATTGTACTAAAAATTTATTATCTTATGTTTAAGTAATGAATAATATTTTTTGCAATGTTTCGGGATTTTGATCCAATCAACCATTCGAAATCTATCTAAGGTGTGCCGTTGATAAGAAGCAAACCATATATGTTCCAATGACCAAGAGGTATAAAAAATGATCAAGTTAGCAAATTTATCATAACAATAGACAATTCTGAATTACTACTACATGCTCTCCGGTATGCCAACTTTTGATTCTTTGTTTACAAAATATTAGATGCACATTCAACACTCAGATATGATCTCCCATAAATCCATAAAACACACGTTCTTCAACTATAGAAGATGACATACCAAAAGAAGAGGTACCTAATAGATTTCTCAGTATTCCTCAGTGGATGTACAGTTCTTGAAGTAGTCATTCATATGTCTTTTTTATTGTCAATATCAATTACGGTAGCCCACGGGTTCTAAATAAAAACAGACAAACGAGTTGCAAAGAATAGAATAAATAGAAACTATTGTTTAACATAATGCAACAGTAATAAGTTGAAGTTATACTATATCTCCTAATCCTATTAGATAGTATCATTGCTTGCCAGGTGTTTCCTCGAGGTCAACTATAATACACACTGTTTTTAGTAATTGTACTCAACTTGTAGCAATCAATATACCTCATCCCTAAGGTTTCCCTTGAGCTAATACAATATAATTTAATAAACTAAGTCTTATGCTATATCAAGGTACTTTACGAAGTACCTTGTTTGGAGATAATACTATTTACACATCTGAACAATGGGTTTTAAAATCCTAAATTTAATAAAAACAAATATTTCTATTATCAATATGCATATAGAGGTATTATTACAGTTTTAATAAAACATTAGCAATAAAATACAATACAAAGAAACAAGTACCAAATTAGGGATGCTTTGTCAAACTAATTTACAAAATAAAGTTATTTCAAGTTGAAGAAAAGGGTAAACAATACTCTTTCGACGTCAATTGCAAACTATTATCAAAGAATACTATTAATTAACGTTCAATATGACCATTAGAAAGCTATAAAAAGCCCCATGTAGTTCCAATGTTAGTTTTCCAAAAAGTAAAATAAAGTCCCTTCATTATATGTGCCTCTTTCCTTTTTTCAGATTCTAATAAACAACACTTCAACAAACTAACAACAATGGTGCTTTGCTTTAATATTCTACTTTCGTTAATAACTAGTTGTGCTTTTGTCCATGCTCACCCATTGGATCGAAACCCAGTCGACGAAGCAAACTTAGCGGCTTTATTGAGCTCACAACCAATAGAGGCGGATGATGTTATAATCGAAACCATTGCGCTTCAGTTGAATAGAACTTCTCGTGACAGTAAATGTGATGCTTGTATCAACAGACTATTAATCGGTAAGACTTTGGTTTCCACCAGACCAGATTTGGTTGCTCCTGCCTTTACTAAGTGGTGCGTTGACTCCAAATATAGTAGCAACAATACTTGTTACCAAGACTATGGTATCTCGTCTGTTAATGGTAGTAGTGAAGGTTCAAACTACGCTGACTTACTATCTCAAATGGATCCAACCGGTTATGATGGTCACTTATATTGTTACTTCAGAGATTCCTACAATTGTCCAAGACCAGTAACACCAAACGTTACCATTTCTCATTTATTTCCACCTAAGAAAGCAGAACATATGACTGCCCCAGAACCTGGTACAAATGGTACATTCAATGTATTGCACGTTTCCGATCTTCACATCGAATTAGATTACACAATTGGTGGTGAAGCTAACTGTACCGACTCTCTGTGTTGCACACCTCACTCGGTCAATCGACACAAACTTGAAGGAGCCTCTTCATTCAAAGGCCTATGGGACTCTTACTTCAACTCCTATTATAATGAGGATTTCTCATTTGAGAAGGGTTCAGAGGTCAATGTTTTCAATGGTACATCTTGGATGCCTGCAGCCTCTTGGGGTTACTACCACTGTGATTCTCCAGAGAGATTGATCAATTCCTCCCTAAACAGTATTGTCGATTATGCCACTCAAAAGAACGTATCATTTGACTTTACTATTTTCACAGGTGATATGATTTCCCATGACCTAGGTAAACATATTTCATATGAAAGTACTCGTGAATCTGAAGTTCGTATCATGAAAGATCTGAAATCAAGAATGGGATCTACTCCAGTCTTTCCAGTGCTTGGTAATCACGATAATTATCCTTATGCTGAGATGGCTCCACAGAAATATGGCTTTTATAATAAATTCTCATGGAATTCTGACTTGATGTCTGACATGTGGGAAGATTTTGGTTGGCTGAATGAGGAACAAGCTCAACAATCTAGAACCCATTATGCTGGTTATTCTGTTGAAACAAAGATGGGGTTGAAGGTTATCTCATTGAATTCTAACACTTGGTATCCATCTAATACCTATAACTATATCAATGCAAGCGCTGTGGATAACTTCGGTCAATTCGAATTCTTAATTGAAGAGTTAATTGCAAGTGAAAACAAAAATCAAAGAGTCTGGATTACTGCACATATTCCACCTGGTCTAGGTTGTTTACCTATTCCATCAAAAATATTTACAGAGATTGTTGAAAGATTTTCGCCTTCTACTATTGCTGGTGTCTTCTTTGGTCACACCCATAAAGATCAATTTGAAATTCTGTATGCCGGTTCTGGTAACGATACCAAAAGTATGGAGAATGCTTTAAATACTGCCTATATTGCACCATCCATTACTCCTTGGAACGATGTTAATCCAGCCTGGAGATATTATGAAGTTGATAAAACAACGTTCTCCATCATGGATATGCACACATTCTATACCCCGTTGAACGCTACATATTCTAATGATGGTGCTGAACCAACCTGGAAATACGAATATTCTGCTAGAGATATTTATAACATTTCATGGCCTCAAACTTCTCCTCTAAATGCTAGTTACTGGCATCAAGTGGCCCAAAAAATGAAAGGTTCAGTTCAATATAGACAACTTTTCAGAAACCTTTACTATAGATACGCACCAAACACTTCAAACTGTTCTACTTCAAAAGATTGTGATGACGATTATTGTATGGTCACAGAATTCACAGCTGATGATTATAACAACTGTGTGGCAGCTGTTTCAACTTAGGAAGTCGTGTAGCTTTTCTTTTTCCTAGGGTTATTCTATACCAAACATTTTTACTTTTTCTACATGTCCTTCTTAGTACTTCTTATTATATACCTTAATAATCAAAACTTTCTATAACTACAGTTTCAGTTAGATATCAGGATTGTTCATAAAACAAAATTACACATTATGATTCTAATTTCGCTATTTGTTGAGGTAGTAGAAGCAGGAATTATAATAAATGACAATTTTTAACCCTCAAAAATCGTTCTGCTTAAGAGTATTTTGTTACAAGCTTTATTTCTGATAGTGTAGTTGATAGACAATATTTAATGTTTCTTTGTTTTTTTTTGTTTTGTCCTTGCATAGCAGTACTTTTTCAGTATAGTTCATAATATTTCAGGTTAAGCAACATCAACAAAGACAAGAGCCGTAACTCTTTTTTTCATTATAATTTATACTAGGAAACATATATGGAAAGTAGTCATTATTAGAATGACTACTAAATTCCCATGGATAGCAATATTCTGAATATTGACATAGATGCCTGTGGTTTCTTCGCTTTAATTGAATCTGTTCGAGATTTTGTAAAATCGGCAAAAAAAAATAATCAACTTTTGTAGTTGGTTATCAAACAAAAATAATAATTTTTATGCCATGGAGTTCTGGCTGTTATGTGTTACGTAACATTCCTTTTAACAATCAAGATATATTATGCAAGAAGAAGAAAATTTGAAACTTCAGGTCCTGCTATGTAACTAAAAAGTACCGTACTAAATCTGGAAATGATTTCAAATGGGAGTTTTTTCTTCTTTCATTTTATGCTGTTAAAGCACAGATAAACCTAGAGAGAGAAAAATATGAATAATGACAGGAAAAAAAAAGGTTAGGATTTGAAGAGATTATAGAATTATTTCTTGGTGAAATCTAGACACAAGGAATTGCAGGTACCACAGTTGTACAAGATTCAATAAGTCAAACAGAAATCCGTCCTTCCGTATTAGGAATTGAAATATTCCGTGGATATGCAACAATCGACTATTGTTGATGTTCTTGCATACATTTAACACAGGACCCCATGCCAACAATGACCTCTAAAAAAAATTTAAAGTAGTACCCCACGTTCAAAGGTCGTGCACATTTTGACATTCCTGAAATTTTTGAGATCTCAGATCTGAATTTTCAAACAGACGAGAAAATGGATCCTGAGCCGTTTTCTCAGAACTTCTATTGTTCAAAAAACAAATTCACAAGAAAATAAATAATCCAGAGAATACTCGCACATAAACTTTTTAGAATCAACCTTTCAATTTCAATGGAAACAATATGTTCCTGTCAGGAAAGAATGATGGCAAATCTCGAGACAAACTCCAGTTATTTTTAGTGCCGTTTCCATAAATAAAAGGTTAAGAAAGGTTTTAAAACATTTTGTTCACCAATCTTGGCAACGTTTTCTTGTGGGAAAAAAGAAAAGATGTGTAAAACTTTAGTTGCGCATTGATAGCTATGGTTGCTGTTGGAAACTCCTATATGGCTAATATTTGCCTTTACAGAACATTGACATTATTCCTTGGATTTATGATATGAACATAAAAAAATAAACTTTTCCATTGTTAGAATTTATTTGATTGTTTGTATGTATATATTGAACTTTTCTCTTACCTCTTACTTCCTCCAACTTGCTACAGTAATGAAATGTTTTTGTTTATTTTGAGGGGCTCGTATCTTTGTTAGTTATTTAATAACTTGAATAGGAAAGACTTCAGAACTATTGAAATTTATATCTAATGCTCGTTAATCAACCTACAATGACAGAAACCGTCCTATGATAATTGAATTTTTGCTTGAATAGGAAATGTTTTTAGTACAGATTGTGTTTCCTGAAATAATACTGTTCTCTCTCCTGATTTTTCTGCCACAAATATGTTATAATATCATTAATATGTATGTTTATAATTAAATTCAAACCCTAGCGAGTGTTGTATGAGAAATAAAACGTATATAAGTAACTGATATTTCGATCATTTATGAAAATATTCCTTACAAATCATTTCTATTTTAACATTTAATTCATAATATAAAAAAATCATCTAATAAACAAAAAAACCAATCCAATCATATTCTAATCGAAATAGCTGCCTCCATGATTTCCTTTTCCAATACAATTGTTATCTTATTATCTGTGCTATTAAGTGCAGCAGTCGCCTTACCCCTAATGAAGAGAGATACTATTACTCTAGGTAACAATGGCTGGTACCTTGACATGACCTCAACTGATGAATCTGCTTGGGCTAACTCTGTTTCCACTGTCTGTGCTAAGACTTCTACTGGTGTTTGTGTCGGTGAATCTGTTGTTGCCACCATTCTAACTGCTTTGATGGCTCTAGGTAACACTGGTGCTACTGACAGTCAAACTGGTTCTGATGTTACCTCTCATACAATTGGTTACACAAATGGTACTCAATCTAGTGTTGTCGGTTCTGACGGTACTACCACCATTGCTGCCCCAACTACTACCACCACTTCTGCTCATGTTAACCTATTATCCAAGATATTGTCTGATGTCAAGGCTGTGCCAACCGAAATTGCTGACAGTTTCGAAAATGCTGGTCTAAAATTGCTTGGTGTTTACAATCTGACCAACGCTGCTAAGACCATATCTCAAATCCACAACACTACGAAGACTGTCGAAGATGATATCAAGTCTAAGATCTCTCAAGCCGTCGGTAATGTTGAAAGTCGTGCTGAAGCTGCGAAAAGTCGTGTGGATGCCATCAAGACCAAAATCCAATCTGCTGTTAAGAACGAAGTCTCTCACGTCGAATCCGATACTAAGACTGTTGCTAGTCACGTTGCCAACGATGTTGAAAGTACTATCGATACTGTTCTACATTTCAACTCTTCTCTAGGTCAACATTTGGTCACTGCTATTGGTGACACTAACTTAACTGAACTTGCTGATCTTATCTCCAAGGCTATCCCAGGTGTCCCATCCTTCGAGAATATCACTGAAGATGTTGAAAGCACTGTTGTAAACATCGCTGATAAGGTAAAAGATGCTGCTAAGAATTCAGTTTCTGAGTTGCAATCTGCAATCTCTAATCTAGAATCAAAGATCTCATCTGACAAAGACAACATACAAGGTGCCATTGACAACGTCAAGACCGTTACTGAGTCTGTTGCAAAGAAAGTTGAATCTGCTGCTCAAAACACTACCAAGAACGCTATTAACTGGATCTCTTACAACATCAAAAACACTGACACTGATATAGCTGATGTTATCTCTCAACTACCAACTTTCAATGTTACCAAGTTTTCTAGTGAAATTTCCAACTTTGTGGATAACCTAGGTGACTTCAAGTTCTGCCTATCTCCATCTACTGGTTACAATGTTTCTTACACTTCTCCAAGTACCATTTTCGGTGAAGTCTATTTCAACACTTACGGTGGTGTCGAATCTCAATGTCAATAAATGGATAATTTCAAGTAATCGTTATTACTCATCTATTTTCTTTTTTTTGTTATTCCCCAGTTTACATCTTCTAAATAGTTGCATCGTAACACATGCAACATTTTTCGCACATTAATCCCATTAGAATATTTGATTGGATATCGATTGTTCTATTTATTCATCTTTGTTTTTTATTTGTTTCACTACATCCACTAATAGTTAGAGGCTAGCACTCTTTCTCATTATATAAGTTCTTAAGTAATTTTTATACATTTAATTTTAATAACACATTTTTCCATTAAATTAGAAAGAAAGGTAACATACATACTATAATACTTTATGATTAGATATTTAATCCAAAGTATGGGAGGTTGCTACTTCAATGATTATATTACATTATTAGGTCTCATTTAGTTCATTCGGACGTTGTTAAGAATATACCGTAGAAAACAAACTTGGTTCCGAGAGGAGAAAAATTATTACTAATGAGAGTTGTCTTTTGCCTTTGCGAGTGGTTGAAATATAAACATGGAGTGATTAAGAAGTTAAATGTAGTTGAAGGTAGGCCAATATCATTAAATTAGTTAAGATAGTTAGTCTAGCTTTAAGTATAAATGTGATGCAAGTGGGTGGCACAATCGTATACCTTTATGACTCCAAATCAATTAAAATTATTAAAATCGCTGTAGACTGAGCAGCATCAACCTGTAAAAGAAATATCCACAACTAATTGAGCAATTGCAAAGAAGGCCATGAATAATATGGCTCAAGTGACCACGAAAAATGAACGTCCTGTGAAAAGGAGACGCAAAGTAATGAATACATGTATGTTTTGTCGGAAAAGGAAACTAAAATGTGATCATGCTAGACCAAAATGTCAGCAGTGTGAAATGCGGAAACTTCCTGAATGCGTCTATGGTAACGGTTTTAATTTTGACGTTAGTGCAGAAGATCGCATGAAAAGACCTACAAAACGTTTAGTGAAAGATGTGACAAATAGTGTATTAGATAACCCTACAGATATATCCACATCAAACCCCTCTAAAGGTAACCCCGATGACAATTTATTAAAATTTCAATTTCTTGAAAATCAGGATGGTAGATTTCAACGTTATGGACCAACATCGTGGAAGGCAATTGTAAACCATGATAAGGAAGTATTTGAACGAGAGTATCTTGATTTATGGAATGTTCAAAAGAATAAGTACGATGTTTGGAAAACTCAACATTGTGTCATTGAGAATAAGCCGAAGTATTGGGTACATTTTCATGATGTAAACAATATTTTGAAAATCATATGTAGTGTCTTGCCAACTTATGAAAAGACCAGAGAGACTCTAGATAAATTCTTCAATGGTACATTACATGATGTTTATAGGATAGTGGATCGTAAGCGTACATTTGAAGCATTTAATACGTGTTTTTGCGTTTCAAGGGTTGAGCCATCATTCGAAAATTTGTTGACGGATGTGTTTACAGATATCCAAGTTCCAGCAGATGGAAATCTTTATTATATTGGTATTATATTATTGATTATTAGTCATACAATGTCTAATTTCAATCCAGATAAATCCTTGACAAGTTTCTTAGAACAATTAGCATTTTCTCCAAGATTTTCAGATTCTTTTGTGGAAAGACCCCAATTTTTGCTACTGATGTACCTTTTGAGAGAATATCAATCAGATTTGCCCATTTGGGAGACTAATCAAAATCACAATCTAATTATGTGTGTATGCCATAGTTGTGACGTATTAGGTTTAAGCAAAATTGATGAATGGTATGATAAGAGTAATTATTCCAGTGATGTGATTTATTCTTTAAAGAGAACTTTCTATTGGACAATATTTTTTGATGTTAATGTATCATTTGAAGAAGGGAAACCACTTTATCTTTCTGATAATCATTTCGAATATGCTCAATTATATAATTTGGAACGTCATGATGTTGAGATAGATAAAGAATTTCGCCGAAGTAGAGTTATGTCCAATTTTCTCAAGATAGTGAGACCTATTGTTAATGATTTAAATAGTTCAAATTTTAAAGACAGGAACATGTTGAAAATATACACCAAGCAATTGGTGGATTATTTCGAATCAGGTTTAATGCCTATTAAATTATATACTGGTTCAGGTAAAATATTACCTGTAGACACCTTTGATTTACCATTCGTCGCTGTTGGCGTTGCATTATTATTAGCCCTGTATCATATGAGAGAGAAATATTTTGGAGAGAAGTCTATTGAGGTAAATAATGGAATCATCAAATATTCATTAATCCTTATAAGTTTTTCTTGTAAAACGATCATTTGGGGAGATCAGATGGATGGATTTACTGATGGTATGTATTATATCAATAAGGATGCTATTACGCATCATTTACGATTATCGATCCTATTGACTGCACCGATTATGAAACGAGTAATTTTCGAATTCTATGATTATTTTTTCCAAAACATTTCACTAGAAAATCTATCATCTTCACAACAATTGTTTGATTGTGAAGGATCTAAAGATCAAACTATATTATTAGATAGTTTTACTGTGGAAGATAGTTATTATTATCAAATTATTCCCGCATTACAACAAATCGAGATCATTGAAAAATCGATATTGGGTCATACGGAGTATAGATTACATCAAAGATTACATAAATCGGCCACGTTTGTTACCTTAGCTGCGTCACAAATGTTATCATATATTCTTGCATTGCAAGTTACAAGATTAGTCAAATGTCCCGAAGATAAAAAACAGACCATAAAGCAAACAGGGACAGAGTTATGGAATAAGTATAGAAGTATATCTAGTGGGTTATGGAGGTTAAACATATTTGATCTAGTGTCTAAGAAATTGACTGCAAAGACGGCTAACGAGGCTGATGAGGCTGACGCCAATGCACACCCTACTTTTACATAGCATAAACTAATATTCAAATCATATTTTGTAAAAATATTATATTATAAAATTTAATCATGTAATCTGTTCAACTTGTTCTATGGAAATTAATCATTTTTTGGTTTATTGTTACCATTAGTAACATCAGTCCCCCCTCTTCTATTACATAATAAAATAAAATGGGGACACCTAACCGTGATTGATCGTTTTTCTATATAAAGTGCATTAGATATCTGTAATTCCGCGGGTTGGCCAAAAAATATTCAAAAAAGCAAAAAAGACAATTTCTTCGGAGAATTTTTCGTTTTTGTCTCTCAAAGCTATAAACAACGGCGTAGATGACTGAGATATAGCTACTAAAAAGGACCATTATCGTTGCTTCGGCCGAGATGTGAATGATTTCTACCAAGAAAACGGGTATTGAGAAACCCGTTCTTACGGCCGTGGAAATCGAGAGGGCTCTCTTTATGCACTACACTAAAATAGGGAAGAGTCGGAATATTTTTGGAAATGGAAATAAGAGTTAGCTGTGTGTAATGCCATCTTAGACCCATGTTAGACCCATGTTAGACCCGTTTTTTCTTCTTTTTTTTTCTTTTCTTTTCTTTTCGGATTAGCTAAGCTTAATCATCATTGCCAAAAGAAGAAACGTTTATATTTTTCAGTTAGTTGGAAGGACCATTACCTAAGTAAAGTAGATATATTCATTCTTTATTTTATTTCACAGACTGTAGGAAGGTGGTGACTATGAAGGTGAAGAATTATGAGGGACATGGCCCGCGGAATGCATTGATACTGGTGATGGTTAAGTCTTGCCAAATTGATGATTAATGCTTAAAAAGTTTTTGCATTTTTGTGTTTTTTTTTTAGTTTTTTGAAGTATTGAATGAATATAAATACCAAGTCAGTTTAGATTATAATTTGCATATAATATTTCCTGATTATGTTCCATTTGTTTCTCTTTTGTTATGATAGATAATAATATCATCGAAGGCATTGATATACACTAACAAAGAAAGAAAAATGTCTAATTACGCTACTTTCAAAAATACCTTTTTTTTTGATGCTTTAGAATTTCTAAATGTCATTAAGATTTCCGAATTACATAACTTAAAAAATGGGATCGATTTAGATCCAAGTTCATCAGATATATCTTCTCGTGAAGATTTATCAGAATCAGATATAGAGAAAGGTTCTCAAAGCGATTCTGTACGGAAAGAAGACCAAACCCTCCACGATAGAGAACTTAAAAACGATCCATTTTTGGTTGATTGGACTGGACCTGATGATCCAGAGAATCCTCAGAACTGGTCAAATGCAAGAAAATATTTTATTATGTTTCAAATAATGTTATTAACTTCTGTTACATATATGGGTTCCTCGATGTATACGCCGGGTGAAGAAGGTATTCGTGAAGAATTCAAAGTCGGTCATGTTGTCGCCACATTAAATATGTCACTTTATGTTCTAGGTTACGGTCTTGGTCCAATCATTCTTTCTCCAATTACTGACATTGCTAAGATTGGTCGTCAACAAGTTTACACTTATACTTTATTTTTATTCATGATTTTCCAAATTGCTATTGCCAGTGTTCATAATATTGGTGGTCTTATTGTTATGAGGTTTATCACAGGTGTATTATGTTCTCCCGCTTTGGCCACTGGTGGTGCTACCATTGTTGATGTGATGAAGCAAGAGATTGTTCCCGTATTTTTGGGTTTCTGGTCTGTTGGTGCTATTGTAGCACCTATCATTGCTCCATTGCTGGGTGCATCTATGGTTATTGCTAAGAATTGGAGATGGATTTTCTGGTTATTGACTTGGATGTCAGCCTTCACGCTAATATTATTAGCCTTCTTCTTTAAGGAAACTTCTGCAGCTTCTATCCTATCTCGTAGAGCTAGAAGAATCAGAAGAGAAACTGGTGATGACAGATATTATACACTACAAGAAAAGAAAGACGCCGAGTCTAACTTCTGGGCTTTAATCGGTTCCACTCTCTATTCTTCTATCAAGATCATCTTATTGGAACCAATTGTTCTTGCATTTGATGTATGCTGTGCTTTGGCTTATGGTTCATTCTATCTATTCTTTGAATCCTTCCCAATCGTCTTTAGTGGTATTTATCACTTTACATTGATTGAACTTGGTTTGGCATTTATGGGTTTTGCTGTTGGTGGTGCTATTGCTTTTGGGATTTTCTTAACCTTCTTGGTGAAGGTCTTATTACCAAAATTCAAAAATGGTACTTTCGTTCCAGAGACATACTTACTTCTATTGATGGGTGTGTGTTGGTTTTTCCCATTGGCCATCTTCTTGTTTGGATGGGCTGCTAACACACATTGGATTGTTCCAATCATTGCTGAAGTATTCTTTGTTATCTGTTGTTTCAATTTGTTCCAAGTGACTTTCTCATACCTAGCATTTGCCTACCCAGATCACACTGCTGCTGTCTTTGCTGGTAACGGTCTATTCCGTGCCACTTTTGCTTGTTCTATGCCATTATTTGGTCAAGCCATGTACAACAACTTGGCCATTGATGGCTACCCAGTCGGATGGGGTTCTACAATCGTTGGTTTCTTAACGATCTTCCTATGTATTGTTCCATTCGTTCTTTACAAATATGGTGCCGCTCTGCGTGCAAAATCCAGATTTGTTCAATAAACAAATGGATTCATCCATTGAGCCTCTGCACTCTCCTGAGTAGTAAGGTTCAACATACTTTTTTAGCATAAATACTTAAACTTGGTACATATTCATTAATACTACTTAAACATATTTTTTTTTTAATTAAATTACTAATTAATAACTTATATTATTTCATGATCTGAACATTCGGTCAACTACCAGAAATTCCGAACTCTAGAGGGGCCCAAGTGTTAAAAGTATATCAAATCTGATTATGTGTCACTATTTTTAGGATATGTATTTTTTCACTTTGAATAATTTTCAAAGTTTCATGGAGAGTGGATTCTATTTTAGTTCCGCGTCGTTTACGTAAACTTTTGAAAAAAAGTAAAAATTAGGTGCCCAACTCCTATAGAAGTTTACTATTACAGAAGATGACTTAAATAAAGGCTTAGATCAGAGAGACTTTAAAAATAGCAGGATAAACCAGAACTGTAAGAGAGCATCTAATCATACTAATAATCATTAGGGCACTCTTTTTTGCAATGTTGAACTCGGCAATGAGTAATCGTGTTTCAAAAGCAAGAAAGAAAGCACCAAGAGTAAGCAAAGCTTGCAATACGTGCAGATCAAGGAAGATAAAATGTAATGGGGTGAAACCATGTGCAAGTTGTTCACAGGCTGGGACTGAGTGTACTTTTGACGATAGAAGTATTCATAAAACTACCTTATACAAGGAAGAAGATGATATTAGAAAGGATCTAAGGACATTAACCACATGTGTCAATACATTATCTAAATTGAAATCTATAGACCACCAGAAACTGAACCCTGTTGTTGCACAACTTCAGTCTAAATTGAACACTTTTAGAAATGATATGCGTGTAATGCTTGAAAGTGACAAGATGACTGATTATGAATCCGATCGATCCATTGAAACCGAGCTTATTGATTTAGATTCCATTAGATTCAACAGATTTATATCGAGCAACTTGGACGATGATGACCAGAAACAAGTTGTCAATGGATATTTTGGATTCTATTCTCCACTCTGTCTACTAACGAAGCAAGGCTTTGGGTGGTTATTTAAGAAATTATTTAGTTCAAAGCTTAATCATGCGGAGGTGAAAATGACTTTCTATCTGTATATGAAATTTTTTGATTTGAGTCATTATTGTTCGAATAAAATTGCTGAACGAAATTTAGCACCATTTGAAACTTATTTTGCAGAGCATATGGATAAGAGTATACAATATACTGATCAGCATGTTGTGAATCATATAATAAATAGGATATGTTCGCTTCTAAACATGGTCCAAGATAAATCTAAATTAATAAAGTCAGATGATCCAATCCAAATTTTACAATTTCTAAATATCCATGTTAACAGTATTAAAAATTACTCTTACTTGAAAGGTACAGATTCATTAGGTCTCGCGGTATTTTATGAGGTAGATACTCTTTTGGGTACGTTATTCAAGCATTGCGAGGATCTTATACACAAGACCAAATTCAGAGATCTGAATATTGCAGATGCACTTTTAACACAAATGGAGTATGTGAATAATAAAGTTGAAAGTTACAATCTAAGGGACATTATTTCAATAGCAGTGGATGATACAATTTTTGATGGTTTGAATAGATGGGAATATTATATTGGATTAAATGAGACTACAGCCGATCGGTATCGTTCTGTGTTTTGGAAATGTATGTGGTTTGACCGTTGGGCTTCAGTTAATACTGGAAAACCATTTTTACTTGATGAGAGTATGTCTCTATGTTTATTACCTAGGAAGTGGATGAGTTTAGGATTGAATGAAACTATGGAATGTGAAATGCTGTTGGACACCGTTGATTTTAGTAACGAATTGGTCGATGCTCAGACATTTGTAGAAATATCTCGTTTCCTGTTGACTAAATTGTTAACAACACATTTTAGATCCATATTATACAATAAAGATTTTACCGATTATAGAATATTTTCTTCCAAATATCCAAACTTTGAAAAGACATTACATGACTTGTTACAAATTATAGAACGATTAACATGGAATTTTGCCAAATTAGACGAAAAAATGGAACCATATATTGGTGAGTTAGTTCCATCGAATGATAGACTTCATGCATATATGACCATGAGATATTGTCGTGTCGAGATGTACAACACTATTGAAAGTATCTTGATACGCTTTTGCAACGCCCCAAGGACTCAGGATAAAACTTTGATCAATAAATTGATACTAAAACAGAGACTAGATATTTTTAAACTGTGTTCAAGCTCGTTGCAAAAGTTGTCGAATATTGGAAATGCTTTTGAGCATATTAAATATAATAGATTGATCACGATGTTTTTCATGCATGTCATTATTTATTCCATCGATAATCCTATTTGTAATATGATCGACACTATTAATGATGTTTGTACTGTTGTGCATAATGAAAGATCTTGTGGTAGAATGGGGGCAACCAATGCAGTTGTCACTTTAGATAGAATTAAAGAAGGTACTAATCTACCGATTTATTTTACATTTGTTTTGACTAGGATATTTTTGCAGATATATGTTGAAAAGAGAAACATTAGTGAAGAGACGTTAATATCGGAAGTTATTAAAATCAATACAACGAATGGAAATATTTGTAAGGATATTTTGAATATCGATTCATCTTGTTTCACGATATTATTGGCCAATATTCCAAATTCTCCGACACATATTAAAGTTCTAAAAGAAATCAATAAAGTTACAAAATCTAAATTCATGGACAATTTCACACCACCTACATCAGTGAGTGTGCCAAATTCAGACGGGGAAAATACTGAGAGTGTAACGACTGTTATGGACTCTAGTGACAATCCTGAAATATTTACGACATTAGATGATTTCTTACAATTGAATGTATTTTCTGAAATATATGAAGCTCTATGGGGTGAATTGGATGATTCTTCTCCCGATATCATAGAAAATTCAACTTCCCTATAAGGGAGGAAAATATATACTAGAAGGAATATTGGTATTATTTAAGAATATATTTATATACATATGCGTTACATCATAATGAATGGTGTATTATAAGGAGCATTGATTGCTCTTTCGCCACTTCTCTTTTCTAACTCTATAATGTGAATTAACAAACATTGACAAGAAAATATTTTAGTTACAACGGGGACGTCTCGTATTCCTAACGAAGGAACAACTTCTTTTTCTCCTATGGTAAAATCTGCTACTTTAATTATAGAGCTTGGGAAAAAATCACTATCTTCAGAAGTGTAATGTCCAAACACAAGTTTAAATCGTTGATTTTTAGTTACTTTTAATAATTTTTTGTCCTCTACAATCTTTGGAGCGTCTAATAACGAAACTGTGTCAGGGTTTAAATAACCAAGTTTATAGTGATCATTTTCTATTATTGGACTAAACTTCACATGCCATCTAAAATTCCAATTATAGATGTTCGTATCCATGTCTCGGTATTGAAACCTGTGAATCATTGGGATTTCCCCAAGAGAATCATCTTTAAATTCCATAAAATATGTAGTTCCTCCCGATGAGTTAGCTTTGTATATATCACAATAGATACATTTATAAAGGTTAACCTCTTTATTACTTAAGACTATTTCACCATCCATATAAGGTGGTACTTCACTTAAGGTTCTCAATTCATATGAAAATATCTGATATACTAATTCCTTGTTCTTTTCTTTGAAGTTACTTTGATTCCATTCTACGCTACGAATCCTAAACAAAGGGATACCTACCCCGTTATTATCCTTGAGGAACGAATGATCCAATTTTTTAAATGTCTTAAACATATCATAAGCTTGCACAGATGGAAATATGACTCTGCTGGTATCTCCAAATATTTGAGCAATGGGTAAATGTCTTTCACTTGTAAAATGTAAAAAATCAGGAATGTTCTTGGCTGTAGTCTTTTCGATTCTAAGACGGTCATCTTTCAGTACAGTTTTTTTCAGTCTGGTTACAAGACCCATGATCAACAGTAATAGTAATCGGAGATGGTTATATGAACCTGTTGTGATTTATATAAGGTATATTTGTCTTTGAATATTTCCTGTATTGTTATTCTTATTGTTATTGTAATTATTTTTAAGTAACTGAAAAATATACGTATATTATATTTGAGGTTTTACTGTCTGGAAAAGGATTTGCATCGCGGAAGGGTCCGGTACTGATCTATAGATACAAAATATAAAAATTTTCGGTTAACTATAAGATATATCGAAAATCTGGTATTAACGATATATTTCAATATGGTACTGAATGGTCACTCATTATACCTGTTTCCATTTAAACTATACATGAAGTCCACATAAGAGTGGCAACCCTTTGACGAAATTGCCAAGCAAAAACACCGCCAACAGATGTGATAAATCCTTGGTTTAAGGTAGTCTCCATCTGGAACATCAACATAGAGACTACTAAAATAAGAAAGTTGCCGATCACTTAGGTATTGCCAGCATAACAGTTGCAGATGCCAATCCGTTAAGCTCCGGGGTTCACCACTGTTACTATATTTTTCTTTTCTGGGGGTATTTCCGCGGCCATAGTCATTAATTATCCGCTATTTCCACGGATTTGTGACAGCATCAACAGGAAACTTTAAGGAAGAAGGAAACTCTCGAAGGTTTATCATCATTTTAAAAGTGTATATAAATATCCATGAAGTTTCAACAAAGGGATGTGAATTCAGTTCCTTGGTTTTCTTTCTAATTCATTGTTAATTAGGAAGACAAAAACAGATAACTCATTAAAACATGAACAGTATTTTAACAAAACAAAGAAAAATCATGCCATATATTGCTGGATCAATCGTCCTTGGTGGTATCGCAGTCGCCATCTATCGTCGTCGTCAATTCTCCAAATGTACCGCGGGTCATACATTTAAAGGGATCTTCAACTCTGTGGAGTTACCAATTGTCAAAATTATTGAAGAGACCCATGATACAAAGCGGTTTATTTTCCAATTGCCTGCAGACTCTACAAACAACGGACTGACACTTTCCTCTATGATCCTTGCCTCTGCAAAAGTCCAAGATGGATCTAATGTCACTAGGCCATACACTCCTATCAACAAAGTTGATTCCGCCGAGAACATTGAATTATTAGTGAAACATATGCCACAAGGTAAGATGTCTGGTCATTTATTTGGATTGAACGTTGGTGATAAAGTATCATTTAGAGGTTCTGTGAGCACCTATAAGTATGTTCCAAACAAGTTTGATGTGATGACGTTATTGGGTGCAGGTAGTGGTATTACGCCATTATATCAATTAGCTCATAATGTGATTGAAAATCCCCAAAACAAGACTAAAATCAAATTGTTGTATGGTAATAAGACCGTTGAAGATATTCCTTTCAAAAAGGAATTGGATCAATTGCAAAACAAGTATCCCGAAAATTTCGAAGTTGTATATTTTGTTAGTGATCCAAAAGCTAGTGACTTCAAAGGTGAAATTGGTAATATCAGCAAAGATTATTTGAAGGCAAATATTGCCCATCCTCAGGAGAATACACAACTGTTTGTCTGTGGACCTTCAGGGTTCATGAAGGCAGTCTCTGGCGAGAAGAAAAACTTAATCATTCAAGGTTCCTTGTCTGGGTATCTTCAAGAACTTGGGTATTCGAAGTCACAAGTCCACAAATTCTAAGGACCAATAAAAGACTCAGTCATATATTTATTAATGTATATATCCATATTTACTTATTTATTTATTTGTTAGTTTCAATATCAATTGACTCACTACCACTACAAACAATGTTCTAGACAGATGATTCGTTACTCTACCCAACATATAGTTTGGAATCTGAGCTCTATCCATTTCTTTATGTTCCGGTTTGCCGTCTTTGTCTATCGTCGAGATTGGTGATCTACCTGCTATTAAATGAGGTACGTCGTCAGTCACTTGATAGACAAAATATGCAAGTCCAATATGGAGTGCGTTACGCCATTGCTCGTACACTGCCCAAATACTACTGTCTCCATTATGTAAATAGGATATTACCGTATACACTAGTGTGGCCACTAAAGTCACCGTGACACTCACAGTTCCTAACAAAGTCATCCTGTCTCTCTCTATATATCCCTCTGTGAAGTACTGTCCCGTGTGTTTTTTGATACAACGAACTATGAGGCTATCCCATAAAAAAACACCCTCTGCCTATTGTAATGGTGTATTCGGAGTGTTCAAGAGAGCCCCACACTTCATCATCCATCACCTCTGAAGTCCCTGCTCTCTCTATCGCTATTATATAATTTGCAATATTACATAATAGCGATGGCATATTAATTAGCCACTTCGTTCCACACGATACCAAACCCACACTTTTTTCTCTTTCGAAGCCACAGATCACGTGTAAATGCAAATGCCCAACTTCCCGGCACGGCAACTCCCCTCGCCCAGAGATTGAAAGAAGCCACAGTTTCTTGTCCGAGGCACCACAACGCTCTGCTGCCCTTCTGAGTAAGCAAGAAATCAGGAAAGAAAAGTGTCAGAGACACGGCAAAATCCCCGACGAGGAAATCATTTTTTGTTATGTAATTACATAATTACATAATTTGATGATACACAGGCCAAGTTACTTGTAGTTAAGCACACAGTCTTCCGATCTTTGGTTTGGCCCTGTCTATCCCTTCTACAATCTCTGTCCTTCCCCCCCCCCCCCCCCCCCCCTNCCCCCCCCCCCCCGTCCCCAGTTTTTTGGGTCAAGAAGTCTCTCGAAGGTCACTTAAATGTATGGGAACTTGCCGTTTGATTTAGACAGCACAGTTTTTTGGTTGGCGATGATAAATTTTTCACTTCAACGTGCTTCAAGGTTTAGTGTCATTAACTGGTAGCCTTCCCCTTCCATCGCAAGGCTCTTTTCGTTTGAGTCTCTATTACATAAGCAGATTTTACTGACGTTGAAAGAATAGTTATATATATATATAAAAGAAATATGGATTATTTAATTCTACTTCACCAATAAATATATTTTCAAACTATTGCATCTTGTAATCTTTCTTGTGTTGATACACTATAATATCAAGCATCAACTGCATTCATAATATTAAATTCAACTGTATTTTATTATATTCAACATATAAAAAAAATAGAATTCAGCATTAATTATATTTTTTTTTCACAATAATAATACTCATACCACATCTTCATATATTCACTTTAAAAAAACAATACTACTATAATAATGTCTGATTCACCTCCTGTTCATTGGGAAGAGGAAGAACTGAGGCATACTTTAACTTCAGATAAATCTTTGAAAAAAGAACAAGGAATAATATATGATTTGAACGACTCTGTTAATACGACGGCGGAAGCAATTCCAGACAATCTAGTTGATATCGATGAAGAAGATCCAGATGGAAGAATTCGTGAAGATTTAAAACGTGCTTTGAAACCTCGTCATGTCTCTTTGATTAGTATTGCTGGGATTATTGGTACGGGTCTATATCTTTCTACATCCAAATCGTTGGCAACAGGTGGTCCCGCTTCTCTGTTTATGAATTATACCATTATGGGGATAGTAGTCTATTTGACTATGCTTTGTCTTGGTGAAATGTCTACATTTATGCCTATTTCAGGTTCTTTTGTCTCCTACGCTAAAAAATTCGGTTCAGATTCATTTGCAATGGCTCTTATGTGGAATTATTGGTTTAATGACGCTGTGTCAGTAGCTTCAGATTTGACTGCTTTACAATTAGTTATGGACTACTGGAAGACAAGTGATAAAGGGTTCCCATACTGGGCTGCCTCTTTATTATTCTGGGCTCTTGTCGTTTGTTTAAACGTCGTTCATGTTAGAGTCTATGGTGAAACCGAATATTGGTTAGCTATGTTAAAAGTCATTGCCATTATCATTTTCTTCATTTTATCTATTGTAGTCAATGTAGGTCATAATCCACAACATGAATATATCGGTTTCAGGAACTGGACTCATGGTGAAGCACCTTTTGTATCAGGTTTTAAAGGTTTTGCCTCGTTGTTCGTATCTGCATCTTTTGCTTATGGTGGTACCGAATCAATTACTTTAACTAATGGTGAAACAGAAAATCCAACTCGTAACACCCCAAAGATTATTCGTACAGTGTTCTGGAGAATTCTGATCTTTTACGTGGGTTCCACTTTCTTCATTGCAATGAACGTTCCATATGACTACCCAGGTATCTCCTCAGGTTCAGTCGTCACTTCAAGTTTCACCATTGTATTTCAAATGGCGGGCTCCAAATCTGCAGGTTCTTTCATGAACGCAGTGATCATGACTAGTGTCATCAGTGCTTGTAACCATGCTTTGTTTGCAGGGTCTCGTGTCATGTACAACATGGGTCTAGAAGGGATGTTGCCGGCTAAGATCTTCTGTAAGACTAATCGTTACAAGGTTCCTTACGTTGCAGTGATTTGTACTTCGTTGATCGGTCTCTTAGCATTTGGGTCAAGTTTCATTAGTGCCGGTGAAGTCTGGACTTGGTTGCAAAACATTGTCGGTGTCTCCAATCAAATCGCCTGGTTATGTATTGGGATTACCTCTATCAGATTCAGAAAGGGTCTAGAAGCCCAAGGTTTGACTGATCAGTTACAATTCGTCAACTGGACTTATCCTTGGGGTCCATGGATCCTAGTGGTCTTTGTCACGTTTATTATTCTGGTTCAAGGTTGGTCGTCATTCGATCCATGGGATGTAGAGAATTTCTTCTCTGTGTATTTGGAACTATTTATTTTCCCTGCTTGTTATATCGTTTGGTGGGTCATTAAACGTGATAAATTTGTTAAACCTGAAGATATGGATTTTGTTACCGATAGATATATTCCAACTAAAGAAATCATTGAATTGAATGAAAAATTGGATAATTTGAAAGGTTGGCCAAAATATAAACAATGGATGCATGAACATGTGTTGTAAATGACCTCATTGACAGCCTATATTCCATTCTTGTCCATTAATTTTTTTTTAACTGCATATCTCTTTCCTCATTAGCATTTTAGTTGTGTACTGTAACTAGTATATAGACATTTAATTATTTATGATCAATATAATATTCTAATAATAATAATAATAATAATAATAACTGTAAAATTGATAAACCGTTAAAACGATATTAAAATTCTTGTATATAATAATAAATAAATTTTGTAGAATAAATTAAATAAGGATGAGGTTATTGGTTCTGGTGCCCCTACGGCAAAAATATTAAATAAGGTACAGGAATATGAAAGGAAAAGTAAAGAGGGATGGATGTCTATTGAATAATATTTTGTTATGCGTTCGTCGTATTTATTAGATGAGTCTATTTTTTGGTTTGGTTTGGTTTGGTTTGTTTGTTTTGCTATATAGCAAATCCAATTTCATCTATTTCTTGATAATTTCCAAGTTATCTAATTCAACCTTCTCTAAAGCTTCGGCTTCAGCCTCTAGGATGTATGGTAACAAGTATGGAACATCATCTTGAGCTTTAACCCATTCGTTCTTTGGCAACAAATGATGGGTTAATTCAGATTGATGAGCTCTAATTATTCTATAGTTTCTAGCATAAGATTCGTCCTCAGGTAATCTGGACAAAGCGGTCTGTACAATAGGGTTCTCTTCAGCGATCAAATCGTTGTATGTAAGACCTAGCTTTCTATAACCTGCTAGGTTAACGTATTGTTTAGCCACTGGAACGCAGATTTTGGCTAGTGCCGGACTCTTCAAAATGTATTCTCCGACTTTGGCAATGGATGTAAATGATTGAGGCATGGTGTATATGTATGTATGTATAAGTGTGAACTGAAAATATTCTGCTCCTTCTCTGGAATGGTTCGTTTGTAGATATCTTGTTCCAGCAAGTTATCTTTATATTTCCTATCTTCTATATGGTATATATATATATGGGGAGGGGATGGCTCTGTCTGTATATATTTTTTGTTTGCAGCGAGAAAATTTCAGTTTTTGTTTGAAGAGCGCGAAGGGACAACGATATCTCCAGTGAGGCCGGATTACTCTGATCTGATTGGCTGGGACGTTTGAGCCTACTAACTGGGGATCCCAATGACTAGTCATCAACATAAGCGACGGTATATATATATGTATATGTGTATATATATTGGTTCAAGAGCATGTTATATATTACGTGTGTGTGAGGAGGAAACGATATCTTTCATCAGTACAAACCACCCAACTTGCTTGGAGAGGAGGCAGACTGCGGTTCGTGTGTAGAGCTGGCCTTTTGATATCGCCAACAATATGTATATATAAATAATTGTAGTTCGTGTGAGTGGGAATACCACGAGTGTAGTTGCGACGCTCGAAGTATACCATGTGTGTGGTGGTAGTCCCGTTATACGCCAGCAAACAGCGCAAAAAGAATGAGGCCAGGGCTTCCCATTATCCCCTCACCTTAAGTAGTAGCACCCCCACAAACATGAACAGTCAGCACAATCCATTTTTCTATCTCGACTGGTCGCCGTTGTCACCTCCTGCAGTTCGTTTAAGTCTGCCCCCAATAGACAAACCTCGGATTTAATTCTGAGTTATTACGGATATATCGAATGCGAGCCCTAATACCAACACAACCACTAGTGTGTACAGCCCTAGGGTTTCCCACAGAACACATAACAACACCCGTTAGGGCTAGTGCCGGTTTCGTCGTTCCTTGGAGCCGAGCAGAGCATTTTTCGAAGTGAAAAATTTAGCACAGCGAAGGAAGAGCGACCTGCACAGGCAGCCAAAGGGAAAAGAAGTGAGAGGCTCATTGTCCACAGCATTATGAACAATACCAGAGCCAGATATATATATATATATATATCTGGTACATAATTAGTTACGATGTTATCACAATACTTTGATAGGTTGTCTGTATATATATATATTCTGAGGTACGGTTTTGGAAAAGGTTTGGCGACGATACTGAGTAGTTCAACAAGAGGACGGAAATAATCAAGAAATAATATCGGTATATTATGACTCATTACGCAAAGGAAATCGACTATGTTTTTACACCTCACAGCAGTAAGTTTATCATTGCAGTGGATATTGGTGGAACGTTAGCTAAAGTCGTATACTCGTCACACTCGAAGAATTCGTTGCGATTTAAAACCATCGAGACAGAAAAAATTGATCAATTCATACAATTGTTGCATAAGATCATTAGAAAATATAATAATAATGATTACGAAAACACGCGGCTGGTAGCTACTGGTGGTGGTGCATTTAAATTTAAAAGCTTATTAGATAAAGAATTCAATCAATTGAAAGACCCAATTGTGCAATTAGATGAAATGGCTTGTCTGATTAATGGATTGGATTTTTTCATTCATACAATCTCAGATGAAGTATTTACATATAGTGAAACAGAGGGACAACTTTTACGTGGGATCAACGTCACTAATGATAGCACATATCCATATATGTTAGTGAATATAGGTTCTGGTGTCTCTATCCTAAAAGTCAACGGACCAAACGAATTTGAAAGAGTTGGAGGCTCGTCCCTAGGTGGGGGTACGTTGTGGGGGTTGTTATCTTTGATTACTGGTGCTAAGAGCTACGATCAAATGTTGCAATGGGCTCAAGATGGGGATAATACTAATGTAGATATGTTGGTAGGAGATATATATGGTACGGATTACGGGAAAATTGGGTTGAAGGCATCGAGTATTGCTAGTTCATTTGGGAAAGTGTTTCAAGGAGAACGGAGTGAACGGACTGGTGAACGGAGTGAACGGACTGGTGAACGTAGTGGAACTGCTACCAGTAGTAGTAATAGTAGTGATACTAGTGATACTGACAGTGAGCGTAGAGATTCTATTGAAAATGGCATAATAGAGGATGGCAATAATGGTAGTGGTGCTCCCATGGGACCACATGAATTTAATAATGAAGACATCTGTAAGAGTCTTCTTTATGCTGTATCGAATAATATCGGTCAAATTGCATATTTACAAGCTCATATTCATAACATTCAAAACATTTATTTCGGTGGCTCGTATATTAGAGGCCATCTCACGACAATGAACACCCTAAGTTATGCTATCAATTTTTGGTCAAAGGGTACAAAACAAGCATTTTTCCTTAAACATGAAGGATACCTTGGTGCAATGGGTGCATTTTTACAATTAGAAAGACAATCAATGACACCACCACCATAGTCATCACCTCTTCAACAAGATTATTTATTCATTTGGTTGTGTTTTTTTAAAAAGAAAGAAAAAACCATTAAACCAATTCGTCATGTATTTATTACATCTTAATAGATATATAGTAAATAACTTTGTATATATTGCATTCTCCATAATATAGCTTCATGATTTGTTTTGCCATTGTGTTATTATCGCTGACGTCAATATCCTTCAAAGAATGTGTCTGTTCATCTAATGTTATTTTCACCTTGTATTCTTTATCAGTTTTATCCTTCACTGTGAACGTTATTGTATGGTCTAATGGTGAAATTTTTAAATTGTCAATATTATCAAAATTAGGTAAGAAATATTTCTCTAGAAGATTTGTTAATTTGGAAATGGTTTTGTATTTAATGATAACATCAGATTCAACTTTATTGTTATCGTTAGTGGAAGAAGGATTTAAGGTCTTCAGCATTATTGCATCCTCGACTTGTCTTGATAATTGTTCCTGAAGTTTCATCTGTCTGTTGATCGTTTGCCATTTTTTGTAAGTGTTTGTAATCTTGGAAATCTTATCCTGGCTTTTACGAACTTCATTTTTTTTCATTGTAATTTGTTCTCGATCGATTTGTTCCAGTAAATCCTGGCATTCTTCTAACTGTTCACTAGTCTCTATGCATAACTCTTTTATCATACAATCATCATTGAACAAATAAATGCTTTTCTTTGAGATTCGAGACTTAATATCACTTAATTCTCGTTGTCGTTCAGAGATGGCATCGTTTTCTAAAGTATTCACTTCAGATTCCAGCGTCAATATTTTAGGGTCATCAATAGACTCGATGGGAAGATCTCGAGTATTCGAAGATATGGTATACCTTAAGAAATTATCTAGGGATTCTTGTTCTAAATAGATCATTCTCAAAGACATGATGATCTTGTTAAACTGAACAATTTTTTCCTCCAGACATTCAAAATCGATGATTTTATCCTGAGAGTGTTGAGTAATAGTAGTAGTACCATCCTCAGTTATATTTACCAATTCAGGGTAGTCTTGGGATAATAATTGCACAGATTGTAAAAGATCAGTATTAAGGTCCTTAAACCTTGTTCCTTGTTCTATCAGGTTTTCATCCGATATGGTATTATTCACTTTAGAAAGTGAGTCAAGTTCTTTTTTATAATTAGCAGTATTGATATAATTCATCGCAACGGTATAGATGAATCCTGAGAGTTAGATGTTTCGTGTGTTTCCTCATAGTGAGTTGGTTGTTTTGTTATCTTTAAAAAGTCTGTTTTGTTTTGTTTTATTTTGTTGACATTGTTTACGTTATTTAAGACGCGACTTACTTTTTTGTTACGTGAATGATTGAAACAGCCCTCTTAAGAACTGACCATTAGAATACAGGTACACATATACATATATTTAGTTATATATTCAATGAATTGGGTTATCTTTTTGAACAAGAGCCTGATATCTACTTTTACTTCTGCTGCGAACAATCATATATATAAAAATTCTAATACATTTTCCAAGAAGAACGAGTCCCCCTGTGTGATAGTTGCATCTCATCTATATACATTTCCTATTTGTAACGATTGGTAACAACCTCTCAGGTTGCAACACAGCTCCTCCCCACAAGTCTTAAACTTCTTGGAAACCCTACCTGTTACTTTTCTTAAATGTTCAGAATAAAATCACAATTACCTCATCACTCAGCACAGCGAAATTTTCGCTCGATTTGCTGAAAAAGTTTTCTTGAATATAAAAAGGCAAGAAAGACAGCCAAAGAGTTGAAAGATTACTATAACAACATACCAGTAAACCAAAGGAATAGACTAGACAAGGAAAGAAGTGACGATATTCTGATATGTTTGTCTGCACTGAGAGATCTCATTGCTCCTACATTATAGGGATACAATGCTCCATTTGTCATCAGGTTGTTTTTTTTTATTATCATAGTTATTTCATTCCTGAATGATTTGCATGTCTTAAGTTTGTTGAGTGCACAATACTCAATGAATGTGTCTTTATGCAAAGATTAAGCTCTGCATTTTCTCATCTCATAGAAAAAATATGGTCTTATAATGGGTTTTTAGTTATTTGTGTTTCACTTTTTTGACAATCGAGATATCTGATATAGAGCAAGGTTTCTATTTCTGTTACCAGTTACTTGTCAATTTTGTGCAGAATGGCCTCCATCGAACGTTTGACGCCTTCTAGTGTTTTGAGTTTTTCATTACCTAGAAAACTTTTTTGTCTTACGGTTCGAAGGATGTGCGTATCTGTCAATTCGGGTTCTGGTTCGCTCTTTGGAGTGTGTATACGGGAAGAGATCACTTTATTTACTTAGGTATAAAGTTAAACGGCTCTATACAATACTATTTGATACCACTGGATTCCGATCTGTTTACGTGATTACAACTGAGGACCATTTGGCCTAGCTGATTGCATATGCCTTGCTTGAAGACGATACAACCATTAGGTACTTCGTATTGGGTTGGGGTGAATTTTCATCCTTCTCAGTTAAACTGTTTCCTCATAGTGAATCCACTTATACGCCGTTTATGTTTTATAAGCAATGTATATTGGTGTGATGTACTTGGATATCGGGAAGTCGCCAATACAATGGTATAATTGTCCTAGAGGTTATGCTGATCTTATTTTTTTCTCTGAATACCATAGATGTGAATTACAAATATATATACTATTATCTACTTATTATTTCTTGTTCCTAAAATCTCCGCCACCTTGTTTCCATAACCATAATGCATCGATTGCGTAATTTCTTACAGATAAATTTGGGGTATTTTTCTCTATTGAGGTGAATTCTAGCCATTCGATAGTTTGCAATTCCTTTAACATCTCCCAAAACATTGCGTATATCTTATTCATAACGTTTTCAATATTCCCATCTTCTTGATACGTTGCTGCATCGATTTCGGGAATCAATTGGTAATAGGATTGTTTACCCAATTTATAAAGGATACGGCCCAACGTTTGGATGGCAATACATCGTTGAGATGGGTATGTCGACCTTGACAAATGGTCCAGTTCTAAGACGGTGTATCCTGCCAGTTGAGGGTCCTGGGAATGGTGATGCAATGCAGATGTGGTGGTGGATGTGATCTCACGAGTAGGCGGGACCAAGTTCCCATTGAAGTCGAATCTACAATCGGATACACTTTCAATGACAGCATTATCCTTTGCGGTCTCATCTTCTGGAGTTGATTTCATCCATTTCAATTTATCTATGTCTTTGGGTAAATGAGGAAAATATCTATCGTGTAATTTTTCGTCGAAGTTTGGATCGTTGATATCCAAGGGGGTATCGTTATCGTCGTCGTCGTCGTCATGGTGGTGTGGTGATATAAAATGGACGTCCTTCAATAAATCTTCATTTGCAGTATGGTCTATCGATTGAGCCATTTGATAATCCAATGGAGCCACGTCGTCTTCATCCAATGGTGGGTATTCCACATCGTCGTCGTCGTCGTCGTCGTCGTCGTATTCGTTGGCAATAGTCTGTATCACTGGAGAAACTACGGGACTTGCTTGTACTTTTGATTGCGTCACGATATCCAGGGAATCATTAACTTGTTTATTAGATAGACTTGGTAAGTTTTTCAAATTTTCATTAAACCCACCTACCCAAGTCCCCGAGGCACCTTCCATCTCTGCAAACAAAGGAGTTTCATTATCCTGTCTTTTATTAATGTTTTTCAATAAGTTTCGGATCAATTTTGGGTCCAGTGAGTTCAACAAATCCGTTTTCTCCTTCATGATTTCTTCGTCGGTCATATCGTTCAATTTCTTAATATTGTCCACATGAATCGATTCGGCTTCAGTGAGTGACTTCTTCACAGGAACAGCAGCACTCGCCACGTCCGTTGTCTTGTTCTTCTGCTTCTTCTGTTGCAATCTCTGTTTCCACGAAGAGATCTTTTTCGGTTTGTACAATTCAGGAAACCCATTCTTTGTCTTGTGAACAATCGGGTTCTCTAGCCTGCTATTATCATCATAAGGATCCTTTTCGACGATATCACCTAGCAAGTCCATTCTTTCTTCTCTATTCCGTTACTACTATACCACTACTCCCTACTGCTATTAAAAGTGGGGGTTGAGGGGTACAATCTGATTATTCGTAGAGGTTCCTTTTCATCAATATGTGTGTGTGTGTGTGTGTATCTCATCTCAGTTTTAGTAATCGGCAGAAATACCAAAATTTTTTCCCACTCAGCGGGACATCGCGGGCCACGACCAGAGGCCCGCAACATATAGGGATGGATATATTGTTTCACCTCACACTGATCCATACCTTTGAGTTCTCTGAAACAGTGGTTCCTGTTCATCTCTCAATGGGGACTGTTCACCGTGAAGACGGTGTCTGGTGTCACTGTTTCTCTTTCTTCTGACATGAGCGAGCCGTGAAGGGTGCGTGCTAATGACATATAGGGCGTGGATCAGCCCTGGGAAAAACCCAAACATGGCCAGCAGGACGTTAATCCAGAGATCCTTTGACTTCAGGCCTCGTTTCAAGAAGACGGCTACGGGCGGCACAAAGACAGCGATAAACACCAGTATCCAGTCCCAAAATTCCATCTTTTCTGGTTTGCTTGTTGTGGTCCCCCATCCCAGAATCGTTGGTGTAGTGCAGTGTGTTGTGGTGGTGTCTCTATTTATCTGCGCTTTACATTTTTCTGAAGCAGCGAGAGCTGAGGGCAGCGAGGGTGGCGAGAGAGCGACTGCTACGCTCAGCAGAAACAGCCAGCCAGAAGCGACGCATGTCCCAGTTAGCGAAACCACCAAGAATCGCTTACGGATCGTCTCCAGCTCAAGGACAAGAACCGCACTTGTCTGGGTGCAACACACCCACACCCAGCATGTTCTAAAATAGCATACTACCCCACCCTCTGACACCCACCGCTCCCGCCGACGGCCCTTACATAACGCCCACCACAGCAGTTCCTCTCCCTCGCCGGGGCAAAAGCTGTCAAGGGCTGCCCGCTGCCAATCCGCGCTGGGAAATTCCCGAGGTGCCACCAGGTCACGTGCACGCGACGCGAAAACCCCACGCTCCGCCTGCGGGAATCCTCCCGCAACACGAACTCTCCCAGCCGATGAGTCGCGTCGCCCTGCTGCTGCGGGCCCGCCCGCCCGCTTTCTTTCTGGAGGTGGTGGCTGTCCACCCACACACCGCACCACCGCACCACCACCCTCCCAATTGGGGAATCGCTGTCTCGCGTTTCTGCCTGTGAGCGGCCGCTGTGCTGTGTGTTTGGCCCCCAACGCAACGCGACAACAAAACGAAAAAATTTGTTTATTTTTCAGTTTCCCGACCGCCAGAGGATTTTTTTGTTTACTTACCTCGAGTTTCTTATATAAGTAGACACAACCTCTGGGTTTTTCAATTAGTTCCATTGGTTACACTCCCCGTTTTTTTGTTGTATTGTTGTGCAATAGTTCCTCCATTACCCAACTACAAAACTACATATAGCTCTCTATTCTCGCAATGCAATTCCAATCTGTTGTCGCCGTCGTCCTAGCTGCCACCGCTGTCTCTGCTCAAGGTGTCTCCAACTCTACTGTCTCCAACAGTACCGCTGTCTCCAACTCCACCTCCGGTAACTCTTCCAACAACACCAACGGCACCCACACCACCTCTTCCAAGATCTCCACCGGTGCTGCCATTGCTAACTCCATGAACGTCGGTACCCTGGGTGCTGCTGTCGCCGCCGGTATCGCTTTCTTATTATAAGTCGGCTGATACTAAGGGTAATGTTTATGGTTTAATTTATAAGGGTCTCTCATTGCTGTTCATTTAGCATATGTGTAATTTACGTACATTTTTAATTAATTAATTATAATAATAATAATAATACTAATATTGATGAAATTTTATCTTATGCAGGTCAGTTAGGGCTTTTTAGGGTTTTCGCGCATCATTGAAAAATTTTGGTGGCAGAGCTTGTAAAAAACAAAGAACAGAACAAAGATGATTACATAACTAACACTATATATTAGCATTATTCAGAGAATAACAGAAACACACACACACACAGAGGGTTCTAGGTCAACATACCCGTGCACTACCGTCAGGATGAAGGACACTACACATCATCCGTTGAAAAACAAGTCCAAGTCTCGTTCGTTTGAACGCATCACTCACATCCCTCTCTTCACAGCTCTGTCACCATCGGCATCCTCGTCGTCCTCGATAGCATCCTCAGCAAGCCCGAGTCCCGGAGTCGTCCGCACCCACCATCTCATAGACCAGATTGACGACTCGCCCCTCTTGAGGCGGGTGCAGCAGTCGCATCCGTCGAATTTGGTGTGTTGCGACTGCGGATCCTCAAGAACAGTGGACTGGATCTCGATTAATTTGCTGTGTGTCCTGTGTATCAAATGCTCAGGTGTTCATCGCTCAATGGGCACCCATGTGTCGAAGGTGCGATCGCTGACGTTGGACTCGTTTAAGGACTTGGAACTGCGATATTTGATTAAACACAATTTGAGAAATGATACAGTTAATGAAATTTACGAAGAAATAATTACGAAACAGGATAGAATTGACTGTCATGCTACAGATTTACAACGATCAAGATTCATTAATGAAAAATATATCGAGAAAAAATTCGTGAAGGTTTCCCATTTGGACTATGATCAGACGTTGAAATCCGTCATTAAAGGCATCCATAGTGAAAGTATTCATCTTTTACAAAGGGCTATTGCTCAAAGCGATCTATCTTTAAGAAAACTGTCTCAACAATATAATGTGGAGAATGAAAAAAATCAAACTAACGTTAAAAACGTCTCCTTGTTTAAATACTCGTTGAAACACAACGTGAAACGAGAAACAACCTTGGTGTTTAGTATTACCGAATTCCTACTGATTAATGATCTATTGATTGATCAAAACATTCCAACTGATATAGAGGCCCAACGGAGGTGGCCACATGAAGCCCTAGAGTATTGGAATAATAAATTAGATATATATGGAGATGTGTTTTTATCAATAAAGACCAGTACTAAATCAACAACACAAGATCCCCAGACTTCTTCTTCTTCTTCTTCTATGAGTAGGTCTAAATCTACAGATCATCACAAGAAACGGGGGAGCTCAATGAAACGTTGGTCCTTGGCAAGTATACCAAAGGCTCCACAGAATATAATATCCATGCATAAATCGTTGAAAAGGAAGAAAGAACCTTCGTCTTCTGCTACTGCAAATCCATCTCAAAGTATACCACCGACTACCACTACTGCCAGTGCTACTGCCAGCACTGCAATTGCATCTCCTCCATCTGTCCCTTAATATTTAAAAAAAAACGTCACAATATAACAAAACTTTTTCCTGTTTTGTTTTCAGTCAAAGGGGAAAAAAATAATAGAATATAAAATCAATAAGGTAGATTATTACATTTTGCTCAATTTTTTTGTTCCTAACATCTTCTTCATCTATTTGCATATATATTAATGTATATATTTATCATATCTTTTCTAATTACTAATTAATATTTATTACTAATTCTTTTTTTGTCCAAACTCTTCTGTACAAAATACACGACACGCTTTCATTCCACCGATCTACAATTGTATTAAAAATGGAACCTTCTCCAACAGACCTTTACTCGATTAAAGAATGTGTAGGTCGTGGGAATTTTGGAGATGTTTACAAAGCTGTGGATAATAGAACTAGGAAATTGGTGGCTATTAAAGTAGTCAACTTAGAATTCACAGATGAAGATATTAGTCTATTGGCTCAAGAGATATTCTTTCTGGCAGAGTTAAAATGTCCTTATATAACAAATTACCTTACTACTATAGTGGAAGACGTCTCAATGTGGATTGTAATGGAATATTGTGGAGGTGGCTCATGTGCGGATTTGATTAAATATTGTTACAAAACAGGTTTACCAGAGATTAAAGTATCCTTTATTATAAAAAACGTTTTATTGGGTTTACAATATTTACATGATCAAAAAAAGATTCATAGAGATATTAAAGCTGCAAACATTCTTTTAACAGATTCAGGTCAAATCAAATTAGGTGATTTTGGTGTAAGTGGGAAAATGACAGCTACTTTAAAGAGAGATACGTTTGTTGGAACACCATATTGGATGGCACCAGAAGTAATCAGTCGCGAAATTAATGATGGGTATGATGAAAAAGCAGATATCTGGTCCCTAGGCATTACAACTTATGAATTATTAAAAGGTTTACCACCGTTATCCAAATATGAACCAATGAAAGTGATTGCTAATTTAGTTAAGAGGAAATCTCCAAGATTACATGGAATGTTTAACCCTTTTACCAAGAGTTTTATTGCTAAATGTTTAATTAAGGTTCCTCAGGAAAGACCTGGTACTACAGCATTATTAGAATCTGAATTTATTTTGTTCTATAAGGATCATATTAAGGATATTAAGGATGATGTCGATGTTTGTAAAAATATTAAAGCAAGAGATCGCAATTATTTTAATAGACAACCAAAATTTTCCATCAATGATAAATTTTATAACACTTTATGTCGTATTGATGAACCAATATGGGATTTTAACTCCATGAGAGGAGGTCCCGTTATTGACTCTGCAGTCTCTACTGACACTTCAACTTCGAATCATAATTGGAGTCCCCTCACAGAGAATATGAAAAATGAAACAATTACTCCTATTACAATGGAGAGCGATACACAGAGGTCATTCAAGAAATTAAAACAATATAACCTATACGAATTAGGTTCAGGAATGGATATAGATTCTGACAAGAACCCCGAGGAAAACCATTCTAATTCATTGAAGCCAAATAATGAAGAGGATGTATTGACAAATTTAGATTACTTCAATAATGTGATCTCCTATTGTTTACAACGTATGAGCGAAAGAGCAAAAGATGTCGACACAAGACAAAGAGTAACTAATTTATTACAACAATTTAGTGAAACAGAGTCTAATGTACCTGGTTTAAGTGAGGTGTTTATGGAAGAAGTGATGTTAAGAATGGACCGTATTAACACATATCTCACGAATAAATAAATAAAAAAATAGGTATGTTTCATTTTGCAAAAATTTAGATTATATAATAAAAAGAATATACATCACTTTTAATTTTTTGTTTATTGATTGGATATATGGAGCGTTTTTTTGAACTCCGACAAAAAGAATAAATTTGGACACAAAATATTAAAACTTAGTCAAAAATATAAAAACTATCAAAACAATTATTTTTATAAAATATTTTTATTTCATACTTATAGTTTAGAATATCACAACCTACTAAAGTTAAAACTAATCAACATCCAAACCATGAAATTATTTACTGTCAATAATATTATTTTCCCAATCTTAATTGGTAATGCGTGGGCATCGTACCTCCTACATAATGAACTGATTGGAAAGATCAAAGAATCAGAAGCTATCGCCATCGGTGCCATGTCAACTAATCAAGAGATATGCCACAATAAAGAGCATAACATTAAAAAACAAGATGATCTTATTAATTTAGCAAGAAAATGTGGCGAGATCTACGGAAATTTAGTTATTTCAAGCAATTATCAAGAAAAGATCGTTAATCTTGATGATATTGAAAAGATCCGCGGAGATTTCAAAGTGCAAGACTCATCCAGTATAGTCTCGATCAGTGCCCCCAAACTTGATACTATTGGTGGAAAATTTGAATTAAAGAATTTAACTTCTTTAATTTCCTCAAATACAGGTCTATTAAAAAATGTCAAGAGTGTTGAGTTTGTCACACTTCCATTATTGAAGGAGGTCTCAATTAATAACAACATCAAAAAAATGAATAAGATTGTTATTTCAGACACTTCATTGAAATCAGTTGATTTTTTTGGTAACATTGAACAAGCTAACCAAGTAGAAATTAATAATAACAGGTACTTAGGAAGAATTGAACTAAAGATCGAAACTGTTAATGATAAATTAAACATATATTCGAATGCCGATGATACAAATATTCAATTACCAAATTTGCAATCTACTGGTGATCTATCAATTAGAAATGCGGGATCATTTAATTTACAGAATCTGGAATATGTCAATAAATCCCTAGATATTATTGAAAATTCTATCACTGAATTAAACCTCAAAAATTTGAAAAAAATATCAGGAACAGCTGCTATCATCGATAACTCAAAGTTAGATGAAATACACAGCGGGAACCTTACCCATATAGAAGGTGGTTTATTAGTGATCAATAATGACAACTTAAAAATCATGGATTTCTTACCGGCAGTTCATACAATTGGGGGTGCCGTTAAATACGATGGAACATTTGATGAGGTTTCGTTCCCAAAATTGAAGGTAATCAAAGGTGGAGCAAGTTTTGTAACCGAATCAAAGAAATTTAATTGTACTGCATTACTCAATCCATTTATCGAACGTAATATTATTAGAGGTGAAAATTTAACATGCACATCCAATTTAAAGGGAGAAGACAAAATTAATCAACATAACAGTAGCAAAATATCTTACAGAACCTTAACCAGTGGTTCATCCCAGTCAACAAGTACAGGCAAACTATCATCAAATGGAACAGATCATAATGAATCATTAACATCTATATCTTCTACACCTCAAAAGACTGTTAGCGCTGGGAAGATGAAAAATAAAAACGATGCATTCAGATCATCTAGCGTCGCTGTCACAAACATGATAGTATGGTTTTTATTTCCTTTCCTATTTTTCTGCACATTATGAATTTACCAATACATTCAGATTGGTAATAGTTAATCTTTTTTCATCTACTTTATGTAACGATATCTATTTTTGTATCCATAGCTTAAAAGGCTAGTAATATATATATGCTATAATAGTTTCAATTAAAATCTCTCCAAAAAAAAAAAAGATATTTTCAATCTCGATATTTACTAGGAGGGTATTGCTAAGTCGACATCCTGGTATAGTTTATACAGATCATAGTTACTCAAATTGGTTCATTTCTTGCAACTTTCATCAACAATTGAAGGCTGTCAAGGTCGAGCCTGTAAGTAAAATAAATTTCAAGTTTCTACGCGACTTGAAATTTAAAACTATCAAAATAATCGATGAGATAAAATATTAATTAATGAGTGCAACTAGAAATTTCATATAGTTATCACTTGGTCCATTTTAACAAAGACCCAATATAGAAGTAATCATCTCATATGATACTACCTAGTGGATTATAGTGAACAAACTAGCCAGTGAATCAAACCATTAAAAACTAATGAATGACAATTCTGTAACTGATCATAGCAATGATGATGAAGTTTTAGAACCTTCCAATACTATGACGCCAGTTGAAAAGACAGTTAATGATGATAATAATGATATAGTTATTAGAGAAGATAGAAAAAATATCGATCCAACAAAGAAAATGAGAAAGAAAAGAAAATTGTATAGTTGTGAGACCTGTCGAAAATTTAAAACTAGATGTGATTTTGAACCGATCGTAGGGAAATGCCATAGATGTAATGTTTTAAAAATTTCTTGTTCATTGACAAGGGAACGTGAAGAGGAAATATTTTCTGCAATCGAAACTAACACTTTCGATACAGAAGAAAATGTGAATACTGAAAGGTCAGATACTATTTTTGATATGGACACCTCTAAAGGGTCAATGATTGCAAATCACCCATTAACTACTAGACTAAATGAACGTCTGACAAATCTAGAAAACAAGTTTGATTCTTTGACTCATAAAATTGACCTCCTACTATTGTTAGCTCAAGGATCATCCTCCGCCAAATCATCCGCAGAAGATGTAATCAATAGTTCAAACGCTGTTCATGACAACTTAAGAAATAAGCTGGATACACCGCACAACATATCACTGAAGAAAATTACTTCTGATGAAGGTCATATTGATGAACTAAATACCCAGAGTGATATAACGAGTACAGAGTTCTACAAATTGAAAGAGACACCACTAAAAATAATTAATGACATCGATGAAAGGTTATTCCCACTAACTGCTACATCCAAAAAGGAGGCATTAGATAGAGAACAACGACCTTCTGCAGTTGCGAGAGTAAATTTTTTACAATTTTATGGAAAGAATTCAGCTTTATGTCTAGGATTGTGCAAAGAATTTCTGGTCAGGTCCCATTTTTGGATTATACCTGGTGGTATTAAAGAGTTAAACGATGATTTCGTTAAAAATCACCTCTTTATTACAAGTGTGTATACAATCATAGCCATGAGTTCATCGGACAATGAGAAATATGACGAGTTACAAGAAACACTCTACCCACTGGTGGAAAGATTATTAACAAACACCCTAACAATGTTTGATAAACTTATTGTTCATGATATCGAAGCCATTCTTTACTGTTGCATGTTCCATATATCAAGAAAAGCCAAAAGACACAGACAATTGAAATTTAATTCCATGGTTTTGGCAAATTTTGCATTATTTAGTCTCATGAATAACGTCGATTTTTACAAGTTGAAGGAGAGAGTCTTGACACATGAAAAATATGAAGATTCCGATTTGTACCACCTAAGGGTGTTAAATTCTCTTACAGCATGCCACCTCCAGTACTCTATTGCACATGGATCCATGGTCCCTCAAGATAAAATGTTGAAGGAATTTAATAACTTAATAGCTAAATTTCCTCAATCTAACTTCGGAGATGATATCAAATTGAGCGAAATCAACCTAGGTGATATTGTCACATCTATATTTACTGACTTTGGACAATTCTTTGAAGATTTTTTGACACGATTTTCAAACGATCACCAAAACACAAAAGAAAGACAATTTGTTATATTTCCGGAGTTGAATTATTGGTTGAAGAACTGGGAAGAATTATTGGCCAAAGATGGTGGTGGTGTACTTTTGTTTACATATGATTTCTACCATACTATGATATGCAGATCATTTTTGATTGAATTTTTAGATCAAGTGAAGACATGCCCATTCTTATTAGAAAGTCTCATATATACTATGCGTGAACATATCTTTTCATTATTAAAAGGATTTTTAAGATTACCACCATCTTTGATAAAAGGTGCTCCTATATTAACAACCAATGAGATGGTATATGCCTGTATGACTTTAAGCGATTATTTACACTGGTTTGAACCTAACGAAAAACAAGAGATTTTAAGTATTTGTACTCGTGTGTACTGGCACTTAAACACTATTGGGGAAAAGTTGAATGAGGTGACTGAAAATGTGGGCAAGATCATCAAATTTATTATAACAACAGCTAAGAATAGAGCAAATATGGGTCCATTTACGCCATCCTTTGTCGATATATCTACATTGAAACCGGAAGCGCCTGAGGAGACTCAAGATCAAAGATCAATTTCAACTGTGATTGGGAGAATCGATCAAAACTTTACCTCCGAGAAAGATACTTCGACACAACAAAAGGATAAATCCGTCAAGGTTCAACTGCTCACTAAGGATAATAAATCGTTGTTAAATACCAACAATGATACCGCTACTGTAACGAATAAAGCTGGCCCTCAATTTTCTATGCCAGACGCCGACAGATTCAATTCGTTTGAAGATTTCTTTCAGGATTTCTTTACCCATTTGAAACCAGCAACTCAGAAGATGTTTCCTTCTTCGAAGTAGACGAAGAGAATATATATTTTCGTAAATCATATTCATTTATATTTATGTAAAATTGAAATGAATAACTATATATATGTATATGCATTAAGTTAACGATAAACAGTTCAATCATTTATTGACGGCATCAACCAGCTTGACATCAAAGACCATATCAGCATCAGCTGGAATAACACCTGGGACACCTCTAGCACCGTAAGCCAAATTACTTGGGATTCTGATAGTACGTTCTTCACCAACACACATACCAAGAATACCTTGATCCCAACCCTTGATAACTTGACCAGCACCTAACTTAAAGGTAATTGGGGAGTTTCTGTCGTAACTGGAGTCGAAGATTTCGTCATTGCTTAAGAACTTACCGACATAGTGTACACTGACTGAGTCACCAGAAACAGCCTTAACTTTACAAGCAGTGACTGGAATCTTCTTAGTGATATCAATTTCTAATTCGGTTAGATCACCAGCCATAACACATGAGGCAAAGGCAGCAAATAGTAGGTTAGTCAACTTCATTGTGTTGTATATATATATGGGTGGAAATGTTATTTTATGGACAATATCAATTTCCCTCGAAACCAAATGTTAACAGACCAATTTCAAGTATGTATAATTATATATATGTAAGATATACAGAATAAATCTGTTTAGTTGTTCTTTTCGGGTTCACCAAATATAAGACAGCGTCGTATGAAATGATATTATTTGAGATGGGAATATCACAGTTTACCATAAGAGAGTGTCTAATGAGTTGTAGATGACCAAGAGTAAAGTTGCATACAGTTAGATAAATCAGTCCGGGAGTTATCCTACCAACTTGGTAAAATACGGCATAAATTCTTTATCATTTTATTATATTATATATATATATGTTTCAATAAATCATCGTATATAATATACTCTATAATTCATCATGGCTCGTCTCTTCAGAAGATGGGTTGATCTCCTGAGCAATTTCACCTGCTTCTTCTTCATCTTCATCATCTAGATGGTATTTTTTCACTAGTTCAAACCCATCCAAGTGGTAGAAACCGTTCTCTCTAATAAACAATAGGATATTATTTCTAGCAGCGACACTGGAATGAACGATTGGAGCATCGGTGGAACCTGCTGGGTAGATGACAACAGTTGGGAAACCGGTGACTGGGAAACTCAAGATATCGTTAGCAGAGGCATCCACATCCAGGAAGACAATCTTGTCCTTTGTTTCTTCATCACCAGCAAACATATCTGCAATATTATTATAAATAGGTTCAAATTTTCTACTCTGAGCACACCATGAAGCAAAATATCTAACGACAACGTCTCTCTTTGGATCACGGACCATATCGTCGTGGTTCAGACCAACAATCTTGGTGATATTACCATGCTGTTCAGTTGGAATATCTTCAGATTTGACCACAGGGACAGCATCACCATTCATGAAATCTTCAATCAGTTGAGCCATATCACCTTGATCAAGTTTTAATATTTCAGTTTGGGACTTGTATTCTTCATCAGACATTTGTGGCAAACCATATTTCAAATTATATTTCAAATCATGAATAGCAAACAATGGGAATTGTTCCTTCATATTTAGGAATTGAACATGAGAATGGAAAATCAGTGCATTTAATGCCAAGAAATTCATCTTACCACGATATTTCTTACCAAGTTCACTGAAAAATTCTTTATTTTCCATGTATTCCTTTGGAGCAATATAGAAGAAATAAGCCAATGGCAATTTACTCTCCATATATAGACGATAATTTTCAATGTTGGCGTTATCAAAATAGGGCAATCTAGAGTAAAGTAACCAACTCTTTAAATCATCTACTTTGGTGGACGATGTAACATTTTCGAAATTGAAAATATCAGTGTCTGGTCTTACAGTATGATTATTTTGTTCCAATTCTTCAGGAGCCACAGGTGGTAAATAAAGGGTAACATTACCGTTCATAGTTTCATTACAATCTTTGTAAGCAACAAAAGTGAAGGAATTGAATAGTTCGTTAGCTGCTTTATCGAAAACTGAGTCGAAACCATCGACGTTCCCGTAGTAAACCACCACTGGGGATTCCATATTATCTTTATTCAAAAAGTGGCCATTCAATTGTTCTTCAGAGTTAATCCTTTTCACTGGACTAGCAACTTGATTAACCATGAAATCGTACATATCTTCAGAGGTTCTTCTACCAGTATATTCATTTTCTTTTATTAGACGATGATTCTTGAAGGCCTTTAATGCAGGGTAGTAAGAGATACCGACTTGATCACATAGTGGACCATCCACGGAGCAATCCACTTGGAAGACTTTAATACCTTTCTCTTGGTCCAAGGCATCTGCAGCTTTTACTAATTCTGGTAACAGGATCTTGGAATGCACACACCATGGAACAGTGAATTCACCTAGAATCAAATCATTTGATTTAATGAAGGACGCAAAATTGCTCAAAGTCAATTTAGTGATGGAGGTACCATCTGGAACAATAGCGTTTTCGTAGACGACTTTCTGTTGTTGAGTTTCGACGACCACTTCTTGTTCTTGTTCTTGTTCTTGTGCCAAGGCAAACGAGAACAAATAAAACAATACGATCGATAACGTCCAGCGAGTATTCGTCTTCATGTTTATTTTATATAATAGTAGGGCACTGCTTATATTCACTGCTCAATTTGAGACTAATGAAGCAACCACAAACTGCTGTTGCACTGATAATAAATCCCTATACATCTTTATATATAAATATTGCCAAGTTGCGTTTCCCTCGAGATCTGTCAATTGCGTTTACAGTTACGCCTAAACGCGTTTCTCTTCGCAATGCACTGAAAAATTTTCTAGGCTTCGTTCCTGGCCGTTCGAATGGCGTATAAAGAGACATGATAGTGAGTCTTGATTACTACATACAGCTGATATGTATTTATGTGTATGTACGGGGGAAGATGTCTGCAGTCTTGCAGTTACAGTTTCTCTGCCGACATCGGTGGGGGTGTCACGTCTACAGGGGTTGATGCTGGTTTTGGTGATTGGTCCTTCCCCTCAGTGAAGTAATCGGACATGATATTTGTAGCCGCAGTTGTATGTTTCTTCTTCTTGTGAGTGGATGCCATTGGTGGAAGCGGGTCGTTTATGTTACTTGGAACAAACGTGTTGGCTGGGTCGATTGGAGGCAAAGTCTGAGGCATCGTCTGCGGCATCTCTTGTTGCTTGACTGCCGGTATTCTATGCAGGTAACCCGACCCGATCCCACAACCTAGTCTTCCATCTGTTGCAATCCTCACGGTGATGGGCCTCACCGAGTCACTGACCTTATTGTATACGTACAGGACCAAGTCTTGTCCCGCCCGGGACCTTACGATATCTTGCAGGAGAGTATCTCCACCTGTGGCCAGTAGACCGTCTTGACACCCAATGATATAGTCCTCATCCGGGATCAAGCCTGCCATCTGGGCAGGCCCATTCGATATATTCAGTTGCAAGATATGGTATGTGTACGTGGCGGCAATGAGACTTGTCCATTGCACTTTGAACCCCAATGCCTGGAATAACCTTACTGCATTGTTCGGTTCTGTTCCCGAAACGATCCCGTTGGCACTAAGGGGTCCGTTCGATAATGAGACGTCATCCATTTGGCTCTCATCCTTTGGGGACAATTGGATGTAGATGTCTCTAAAGACACCTCCTTTAGCGGACCAAACGTTTAGTTTCACCGAACTGTTGCAATACGTGTTTAGCAATTCGATGATCGCATTGTAATCCGGATACATGTAGCCGTGTTGGTTTCTCATCAGAGGCAATGGCACGTCGTTCAAGCCGACGATGTAGTCGAAGTACGACTGCAGCTGCAGCTGCCACTCGTCGACCCACACCACACGCAGCCCCGACACCGAGTTGCTGAAGGAGCCCATGTCGCCCATTGTGTTCTGTTCATGCTGTTCCACCTGGATGGCCAGCAGGTTTGGGGGGATGGACTGGAAGTACGAGTCCAGTTGCGAGCCGTCCTGGGCGAGGCCCTGGACACTCTGCTCAAAGGTCTTGACCAGGTTCTTTGCGATCCTGAACATGTCTGTGTGTGTCGTTGTTCTTGCTGACGTGATGATGGCTCTCTTGTAGATGTAGTAATGTGTACCTCCCTCTATATATATACATCTGTGTGTGTGTGTGTGTGCTGGTAGTAAATTTCCAGGCGGTGCGTCGTCGTGTCGCGTGACACTGTCAATATGCGGAAATAGCGTGTGCCAGTGTTCCCTGTCTCGACATACTAAGTCGACCGCCGGGAATGGATGGCATTTCCACAGCACAGGGAGGGCCGAGTTGAAAGAGTTGAAAGAGTTGAGTCGAGAGAGTCCAGTATTGCTCCCACCAGCACTCAGCAGCGGATCGACTCGACCAGGCCGACACACCCTTACCCTGCCCGTCACTGCGCACGAACACCCCAGCACCAGCACCAGCACCACCCGACGACTCACCAAGTCGCTACTCTTCTCGAATCGCTACTCTTCCCGTTGCTTACTCGAACTGCTGCTCACCCAGTCGCTGCTTACCAAACCCCCCACATTCCGCCCCCACGCGGTGCACGACAACCACAACACAATACAATAATACAATATGCAATATGCAATAAACTGAACAGAGCGAGGGCAAGCAGAGCGGTGGGAGCTCGACAGGCAAATAGGGGGGGGATAGATGGAACTGGAAGGGAAGAACAAGAACAAGAACAAGAACAACTAGTATATAGATATATATATAGTGGTGGTAGTGCTGTTCACAGGGTGCTTCATTATAGGTAACCACACACACACACGGATTCACACACATATATATCTATACAATGTCGTTTGACGAATTTCACAAAGCTAACGATACAAAACTACTGGATGAGGTCACGAAGATCTGCGCAGAGTTCGAAGTGAACGCCGAACAATTGACAGAGATGACCAGCTACTTCATCAAGCAGATGGAGATCGGGCTGGCCAACAACAATAACAACGAGGGGATGATCAACGGGAACAACGCCGGTCTGGCAATGATCCCCTCGTATGTCACCTCGAAGCCAAACGGTACAGAGGAAGGACTGTTCATGGCTGCCGTGCTAGGTGGGATGAACTTCAGGATTTGCTCTGTTCAATTGAACGGTGATCACACGTTCAATATCAAGCAAGCAAAGACTAGAATCCCAGAATACTTGATGGAAGGGACAGACGCCACCAGTGACGACTTGTTTGGGTTTTTGGCTCGTAGAACAAGCGCATTCATTAATAAATTCCATTCCGATATCATGAAACCAGACACTCCGTTGAAACTGGGGTTCACGTTCTCGTACCCTGTGGATCAGGAATCGTTAAACTCGGGGACGTTGATTAGATGGACAAAAGGTCTAAATATCCCAGATACGGTAGGCAGAGACGTGGTCCAATTGTACCAGGAACAGTTGACTATCGTGGGATTAAACATGGTCAATGTCGTCGCCTTGACGAACGACACAATCGGGACGTTCTTGTCCCTATGTTACGCTCAAGGTGTCACCGCGGATGGGCAAGTCACAGGCGAGATTAGCGAACCGGTCATTGGTTGTATCTTCGGTACTGGTACTAACGGTTGCTACATGGAAAAGATCGAAAACATTAAGAAATTACCAGATTATATTAGAGAGAGACTGATCCACGAGGGGAAGACGGAAATGTGTATCAATATCGAGTGGGGGTCCTTTGATAATGACAATCAAGTACTGCCTACCACTCGTTACGATATCGATATCGATAAGAAATACGCTAGAAATGGGGGTCAATTGTTCGAGAAACGTGTCTCGGGGATGTTTTTAGGGGAAATCTTAAGAAACGTCCTGGTAGACTTGCATACAAGAGGGCTGATCTTGACACAATTTAGAAAACACGAACAATTGCCACATAGATTGAAGACTCCCTTCCAATTGTCAAGCGAAGTCCTGGCAAGAATCGAAATCGACGACTCCTCCACGCTAAGAGAAACCGAACTATCGTTCTTACAATCATTGAGATTGCCAACAACGTTAGCAGAACGTAAAGCCATCCAATCCTTGGTGAGAGTCATCTCGAGAAGATCGGCTTACTTGGCCTCCGTCCCCATCGCTGCCATCCTAATCAAGACCGGTGCTTTGAACAAGAAGTATCATGGGGAAGTTACCGTCGGTTACGACGGGTCCATCATCGAATTGTACCCAGGTTTCAAATCAATGATGAGACAAGCCTTGGCAATGGGCCCAATCGGAGCCGAGGGTGAAAGAAAGACACATTTCGTGCATTCAAAGGATAGTGGTTCTGCCGGTGGTGCTCTTTGCGCATTGGTCGCTTAAACTCACCCCTAAGGCTAGACACTCAATACTGTAATAATTCATCCTTCCTTTCCCATGTATAACGTCATCTGTATATACTGTATATATATTTGTCGGCATTATTTTTTTATTGAATTTAAAAAGAGATAAAAAAAAAGAATTTGTTAAAATTTTTCAGCTCTTTTTTTGCAGACTGTTAGACATCGATATACTCTCTTTAACGAACATTAGGATCAACGGTTGTTCTACGTTTACTTAGATATATATTTACATATACATATTTCTGTCATCGAACACATCACATGCTAAAACGTTTCGTACAATCGTTACCGCCATTGTCGTTGTCATCCATGCCAAACCGTTTTAATCCAAAGAGTACAGTCAGACCGTTTCATCGTAACCACTATTCCAGACGACAAGCAGGGCAACAACAGAACCAATCATATTCGAAATACCCTAGGAACGATTACGCTCGACAGATGGATAGAAAGAATGATTTGCTGCATGTTAGAAACTTGCCAAAGGATACAAGACATGGGATGGCAATGTATAAAGCAGCTACAACAAAAGTGAAAAATACTTTGGCGAAATCTCATGAATCATGGATTAATAAATTCCCCCATTTCGAACGATTAAATCAAATGACTTATAAGCCTAGTGCCACGGAACCTCTTGACAAGTATTTGACTCAAATAGAAACTTATTATAAAGGTTTACAGAAGAAAAGTAATGAATCACTTGCTGGGAAAATAGAAGTTTTGGATAAACAATGGATCAAACAATCTGGGAAAGTACCCGACGTGAAACTCACAGATGATAAAGACGCTGTCGCATATAAGAAACAATTGAAGGATTTGAAGAAAAGTCATTACCCTACGGTGTATTGTAGTCCAGGTTCCACAACATTTGATTATTTACATCGTAGTATAGAATTATTATCCAGTCGAAGCACGATTCTATTCTCATTTGATATCGAGGCCTTCGAATTGGATAATAGTGTGGTCACAGAAGTAGGAATATCCATATTTGACCCCAGAGAAAATATGACAGGTTTAGTGCCAATCACAAGAAATTTCCATATTATTGTCTCCGAGGCTCTTTCATTACGTAATAAGAAATGGGTTTGTGATTTGAAAGAATGCTATTTGATGGGACAAAGTCTTGTATTAAATTTAAATGAAACTGTGGAGTTTATTCAATCCTTAATCAATTATTACATGGTAGAATCCACAGAAGAATCAAGAACATGGAATCGTGCATATGTAGGTCATAATATCGACGGTGATATTAAGTGGCTTCAAAACATCGGTGTGGAAATCCCGTTTGTCAACAAATTGAACAAGACATTGAACGAATCAAGTAAAGGGATACCGTACGTCCTGGATACAATGAAACTATATAATGGTTGTTATGGACCTAATGGTGGTAGTCTTGGGAAAATATTAAGACTATTTGGTTTACCTCACGCTTTCTTGCATAACGCAGGGAATGATGCACATTATACGTTGGAATTATTGATGCATATGTGTGATATAAATTTCAGAACTCAATATGGTCTTGATGATTTAGATAAATTTCAAAGAAGAGCACAAGAGTTTATGGATCGTAGTAAAATTGAACCCAAAGTGTTACCTATATCATATAGTATCACTATGAAAGATGTTGCTCGAACAAGTAAACCGAAAAAGGATTTAGTACCGCAAACAGAGTTTGGTGGATCTAAATGGTTTGCTTCTGCTAATGAAGCATTTGAAAGTACGATAGAATATACAGGTAGCTTATTTTAAAACGTACACAGTTCAAAAAACATAAATATCATTAAACATTTAACAAAAATTGTATATATATATAGAGATAAAAAGAGAATCTGCATTATTAAATTCTAACGACTTTTTCTAATTTGGTCTTTAAAGCGCCAGAAGTATACAGTTTTTGTAAGTCACTGTTACCACCAATAAATTCTTGACCTATATAAATGCTTGGAACAGTTCTTTGACCGTTTAATTGCTTCAAAGCCACTTGAATCTGATCACCGTCATCCATGGTATCCAATTGTAGGACCAAAGCATCAGCAACTGGGACCTTCAAAACTTCAAACAAAGTATTCAAAGTTTCCTTACAGTAAGGACAGTAACTCTTGGAAGCCACAAATACTGGATTGTCGTCGATCATCTTTTGAACTTGATCTACAACTTCCTTAGAGACAGTCTGTGGTTTGGGGTTTGCTTTTACTATCAGCACGACAACTACTAAACCGAGTAATATTCCTGTAAATAAATTCATTTCAAATGCAAATAGAAGTTTGTGTGAACGGTACCTTTAATGGATGGATGTACTTGTTAGAGAGATGGAGGCTAATTTCAAAATGCAACAACAATGAATAATATTTGTTCTTTTATAAAAGAAGATAGTTTTATTAAAAGGTTCTTACTCCCTGAAGAATTTCTAAGGGTTTATTACATAATAATAATATTAATTGAGTAGTTGATAAGCGAAGCCCTAATTCCAACCCGGCATCCCTTGACCAAAACCATTTAACCAAATAAGGAAACCAATACATGGAGAAAGAGTAAAAATTGCAACTAATACATAGCAAGGTCTTCTTGACATGTTCTCTAATAATATTAGTCCTCTTATACGTCCAAAATTGAATTAAAGGTTTGCATATCGTTATATTGTGACAAATTAGGGCTACTCAATTTTTGGCTGTTCAAACTGGTTTTCCTCACAGAACAAGAAACAACAACATCATCAAAATATATAAACAACCAGGTGGTTTTGAGCATAACTGAAGAAGAACAGTAAGACTCCTACAGATATATCTATATATACATACATATAGGATGAGTGGTTCAAAATATCCTACGACGATGAGTTGTATGGATGCATTCAATCGGTTGACTACATGCTACTCGTTAGGTGGTCAATTTCGAAGTTACTATCGTAATGGACAGTTGAATGCATGTGATAAACAGCTGGAGAAGCTTAAGTTTTGTGTGTTTAATAGTTCTGACCCCATTGCGGTGCAACAGTGGTATCAACAGGAAGCTGAGAGGAACAAACGACTTGTGGGCAGTACGGATATCATTTGGAGTGAACGTCCTTAATCAAACAATAAGATGCAAAGTCATTTCTCTAACGTTACTTGTAAATAATTGTCCCGTTTTAGTAATAATATTAATAATATACGATTTGTTAAAATTATGATTATATATATATTTGTATGTATATGTTTTATGCAGATATGAATATGTTAGATTGTAAAAGTTCATTAGGTTAAAAGAGAATGTTGTCGTGTGAGTGCTTATTGTTGTTGTTTAATTTTAAATATAAGACAGCAGCAGCAGCAGCAAACTATGCATTATTAATAAATTGAGAGGGTTTTTTCAGAATAAGAAATCAATGACCCTTTTATAGAATGGTCCATTTTTCAATTTTTCTCTCAATTCTTCTTCTTCTTGTCTCAATAAATCACCATCGAAAATCTTTCTGTGAGTAATTAAATCAATTTTATCAGCTCTAATGAATAAAGACCAATCTTTCTTCCAAACTCTATAACCGAAATAGAATGCGATCAAGATCGGCATAGCCAAATAGTTTTCGAAAAACGCTTGAGCATCCAACTTCCCCTCGCCAATAGGAGCAATGGCCACCCAGAATTGAGCGATCAAGGCCAGGATCATCATTGTGGCAGCATAAGCTGATCCATAGACACCGACTTGCGACTTGTAACCCAGCTCGTCCACGGAACGGCCTTGTACAGTCAAGGCTCTTCTGAAACGCATATGAGAGAAACAGATGGTGATCCAGGTGAAAAGTTGAGAAAGACCCGAGATGGCCAATAGCCAAGTGAATACTTGTTCTTCCTTTGGAGAAGAAGCACAGAAAGCGATGACACCGAACAATGCAGAGCAAATCATAGCAATACAAGGTCTACCTTCTCTATCTAAATAACTAAAGAATCTTGGAGCGTAACCTTGACCGGCTAGAGAATGCAAAAGACGAGAACTGGAGTAGAAGGCAGAGTTTGCAACGGATAACACAGAAAGTAAGATAACTGCGTTAATGAAGTGTGGTACAACTCTAACACCGTGTGATGCAATGGCAATAACGTAAGGTGATGCTTTAGTAGCAGAACTTCCTGAACCCATTAATTGATCAGAATCGTAAGGTACCAAGAACCCAATCAAGGTGATGGAGGTCAAGAAGATGAAGACGATTCTATAAATCATGGTCTTAGCAGCTCTTGGAATAGCTCTTCTTGGGTTCGATTGCTCGGCAGCCGTGATGGAGATAAATTCCGAGGCACCCATTGCGAAAGCAGCTCTAACGAAGACGGCCATGACACCTTTAAATCTGTCGATTGCGTGTTCACCATTGAACGCACCTGGTTCATGCCAATATTTGGCGCCAATATAGCCGTCATTACCCGCTTTCCCACAAATCGTGATGATCCCCAGAATGAAAAACCCTGAGATCATTAAAACTTTACACGAGTTGAAGAAGAATTCAGCTTCAGCGTAACCCTGCGCACCAAAGATATTAATGATAATAATCAAGACGTAGAAGATCACTACAAACACGTCGGGATCCACTTTAGTAGTCCAATATTTAATCGTCATTGAAGCTGTAACCAATTCCAAAGGTGTGACACAAAGCCATTGCAAACAATAGACCCAGGCGACAGAGAACCCCAAGGCAGGATCCACTAAGAAACTTGGATAAGCGTTAAAATTACCAGGTAGTTTTGAATAGCACACGGCCAATTCCCCACACGCTTGGATAATACAATACAGACAAGAACCCATAATGGCGTACCCGATGACCAAACCAGCTGGCCCTGCGTTTCCTAAAGCGGTAGCGTTACCAACCAACAGACCTGTCCCGATCCCTGTCCCTAGGGACATCATCAGGACGTGACGAGGTTTAATAGTTGATTTCAATTTCCCTTCGCCATTGTCGGCAGAATCCATATCGTTCGGATCTTCCAGGTCTCTAACGACATGATCTGGTTTTTTAAAGGAGTCGATGAATTTTCTTAAGTGAGGTTGAGTGATGGAGTATTTTTTATTACTATTTTCGTTGTCATCGTTGGATGAGGACTCAACCGATTGGTCGTCTTGCAACGTCGAGGATAATTTTTCTTTACCTTCTGTGAAATATTCTACCACATTATCAGTTTCTATTTCTGTTGTACTTGATCCTGTAATTTTTTTATTACTATTGATAGAATCCATAGTTAGTCGTTGATACTTTATTGTATGAATAATAATAAATTATGAATATATGTGTATATATATATATTTTCAACCAAGTTGAAAAGGACCGATCCAGGATAAAATAACTTAAAGGATTAATATTAATATCCTCTTATATATATATGTAACGAGGGGAGTGTGATTATGTATATGTATAGTAGTATATAGATGGCAATATGTCTATGTCACACAAGTTAGTCCAAAAAAAAAAATAATAAAAAATTTCATTGAAAAATAGCACTAAAACAATAGCCCGATTATTACTTGAATCGAAATAACGTTACTACAAAGAGAGATAGAGATAAGGAAAATAATAACAGGATGTTAAACTACGTAATAGCAGCTGCTACTCATCCCCGTTGACAAAGATGTGCTATATTACTGATTTACAGTTATCAGAAGGGTATGAAAGTACTGTTACTATTAGAATAACTATATAAATGTTTATGTCATTTAATGAGGCAACAAAAATATAACGAAATGACGATGAACATTTACTGACGTTTTCTTGCTAAGCTAAGCTAAGCTAAGCTTGTTGTTGCGCACCACCACTAACAACGAAAAGGGAATCGGGTGCCCATCGCAGTATTGTGCTGGCAAGGCATCAAACACTGTGCTGGGCAACAGGCGTAGCCCCAGCTGTTTGCTTGTTTGGTGCCGCTCGCTCAGCAAAGAAGCCAGATATGCGGCTGGTCGGTGTTGGGTGCATGGGATGGGCAGAGAGTTGCGAGGAGCGGGGAGGAGAGGAAAGGAACGGAAAGGGAGGTCCAGGGGGGTCTGTCCCTCACGCGGCGTGGCACTGAATTTTTGCTGTTTTTGGTGTCGTCGTGCTGATCTTTAGTGGGGGGGAGGGGAGCCATCGAGAAGAAGCGAAGGGAAGTGGGGGCGGTGGGTGCTTTCCCGGCATTCCGCAGAAGTGGTTTTGCCGTTGGGGATATACATCTCCGGGTGTTGCGCGAAGGCGGAGGTGTGTCTCCGGTCGTGGCTAGTGATGCGTCACGTGCGCGGCCGTCTGGTGTGACCGTTGGGATGTTCCGGGTAAGGGCGGTGGGTGCACATATATCCTGTTGCTCAACGCGAAATTTCTCTCGTTTGCTTAACAGGGGGCAGGGCAAGAGGGCCACGGACGGGATCTAGACGGCCACCAAAGCGAAAATATATATATCTGCATAGCAAACAGAACCAAAAAAACAAGTCTGCAACTATGTATATATAGTTGTGTTTGCCACTGACATACAGGTCTTAGTGATCTTCCAAAGACATACCCACACATATACACACATATACATCGACGCAATGAGTGATATTCCTGAAAATAACGACACTGCTACTCCAGATGTCAAGCCGGACGTCAAGGCCGACGTCAAGACTGAGACTCATTTGAACTTGAAAGTCTCCGACGGCTCTTCTGAAATCTTCTTCAAGATTAAACGTACAACTCCTTTGAGAAGGCTGATGGAAGCCTTTGCTAAGAGACAAGGCAAAGAAATGGATTCTCTGCGTTTCTTGTATGATGGTATTAGAATTCAAGCCGACCAAACCCCAGACGATCTGGATATGGAAGACAACGACATCATCGAGGCCCATAGAGAACAGATCGGTGGTTCGAACTGAGTGTGCGTCTCTGTGTTTTGAAAACACTTCTCTCTATATATATTACTATATATCTACGTTTAAATGGTAATTCGTTTTTGCCGGATTAGGAAATTTAAAGTCTCTGTATAATTTTAAATTAATTTATGGCAAGTTTTTTCGCGTCATCGCGTATTTTCTTTTTTTTTTCTTTTGCTTTCTGTCGTCCAGATGGGAAATTTATAAACCATCTCTCTTTTTAACATATTGATACATATATATATATAACTAATCTCATCTTTATTGACAGTTGGCATTAGTTCACTTCTATTGGCACTAACCATCAACCCCAAAAACTTACAACAACACAACAACACAAGTACCCATGGCCGCTAAAAGTGTACTTTCAATTAAAGGAGATCAAATTGGACCGTGGAAGTTAGGCGAAACTTTGGGTTTAGGTTCAACCGGTAAAGTTCATCTGGCTTACAACAAGAGTAACAACCAGCATGCCGCAATTAAGATCATCTCAAAGGCCGTTTTCAACAATCATAACCCTACATCTTCCGCAGTGATAGATGACGCTGCATCTTCGTCGGCCACCATGCAGCATACACCTGACGCGTTGCCTTACGGCATCGAAAGAGAGATTATTATTATGAAATTACTTAATCATCCAAACGTCCTGAGACTTTATGACGTTTGGGAGACAAACCCAAACCTGTATATGGTATTGGAGTACGCAGAAAAGGGCGAATTGTTCAATTTATTGGTGGAACGTGGCCCATTACCTGAAAATGAAGCAATCACATTTTTCAGACAAATTATTATTGGGATATCGTATTGTCACGCCCTGGGGATTGTTCATAGAGATTTAAAACCAGAAAATTTGTTGTTAGATCATAAATATAATATTAAAATCGCAGATTTTGGAATGGCCGCTTTGGAGACAGAAGATAAACTGTTAGAGACATCTTGTGGTTCACCTCATTATGCCGCTCCAGAGATCGTTTCAGGGATTCCTTATCACGGTTTCGCAAGCGATATTTGGTCCTGTGGGGTTATTCTCTTCGCGTTACTTACTGGGAGGCTACCATTCGATGAAGATGATGGAAACATTAGAAATTTATTATTAAAAGTTCAATCTGGTCAATTTGAAATGCCGGGTGAAGATGAATGTTCAAAAGAAGCACAGGACCTTCTAGCAAAGATCCTTGTGGTAGATCCAACAAAGAGAATTAAGGCTAGAGATATATTGAAACACCCACTTTTACAAAAATATCCAAGTATCAAGGATTCAAAAAGTATTAGAAATTTACCACGTGAAGATACATATTTGAATCCATTAGTTGATAATAGTGGGAACACTATAATAGATCAATCAATTTTACAAAATCTTGTCGTGTTGTGGCATGGAAGAGATTCTCAAGAGATTAGTAAAAAATTGAGAGAAAATGGTGCTAATGCAGAAAAGACACTTTATGCTTTATTGAGCCGTTTTAAAAGAGATACTGAACAAGAAAATATTAAAAATGAGCATCTAAGGAAAAGACAATCGATTACTAATAATCATAGTCCCAAGAAAATATTAACTACTGGTACTGTTGTAACTGGGAATACCGTCACACCAAATAAGAAAAATAGAATTTCAATGATTAGCGTAGCTTCTTCCCATAAGAGGCCAGTATCATATAATAGACTATCGTCAGTGGTACATAATACGCCAACAGGTTCTATACATACAACACCGAAGGGGAACTCTGCGAATAGACTCTCCATGAATAAAAGAATATCTGTACTTTCGACTTCTAATCATAACATAGCAGGGGCAATGGACTTATCTCCAACACCGGCCTCTCGTAATAAGAGAACATCGATTATAGCCGATTCCCTTCATCCAGTAGCCAATAATAATAACAATAGATTATCCAGACGTTTATCTAGATCTAATAAGAGACTTTCGTTTAAACCAAACATGAAACGTGGGTCTATAACGACGAAATTGATCTCAACGTATGCCAAATTAGCAGAAGATGATGATTGGGAATATATAGAAAAGGAGACTAAGAGAACAAGTTCTGATTTTGCCACTTTAATTGATGAAATTTTTGAACATGAAAAATATGAACAAATTAGAAAAGAAAAAGCAGAATTAGCAAGAAAAGTCGCAGAGGCAAAGAAACTTGAAGAATTAGAAAGAAAACGTCAACAAGAAGAGGAAATGAGAAGAATTAAAGAAGTTGAAAAATTAGAACAAGAACGATTGACTCAACAACAATCAATGGATCAAGAAATTGAATTATTGAAGAAGGATTTAACAGACCTAAAGGCAGGTGTTGAAGGACAAAGTGATCCTGAATTTAGATCTGTTTCTGCACCAATGACAACAGATAGAGGTGCAGAAATCAAGAATGAATCTGTTCTCCGCCAACGTAATTACTCTTTACAAACAAGACCTAAATCTAGATTGGATCCTGGTCTATTCTTTAACAAGGTTGATGAAGATACCATAACTGAAGAAGTTGAAGAAAAAGTGTCACAAACGGAACAAAATTTTGTAAAATCTGAGAAAAAGAGAATGCAAACAGAAAAGGTTATTCTTGAAACTATTAGAAGATCGAGATTTTTGGGATCATCATTTGATATTCATAACGAGTTGAAAACATCTCAGGAACAAGCTGAAAGAATGGCTAGTATGTCTTCTCAAAAACAATACCCATTACCTTCTAACGCAGTAGCAACTGCACCATTGAAGGTTCATACTGAAAATTCAAATGCAGAGGCAACTAAGATATCCGAAATTAATGTTCCTCAATTTACTAGAAAATCAAGAGCATTCAGTGATTCTAACAGACGTCTATCTGTATTATCAATGTATTCTACAAGACAATCATTTTCAAATTTGGTTGATATCTTAAAAAATACAGAGACTCCTGGAGAACCTTTACATGCAGATACACCACCACCAAGTGCAGGTGATTCTGATGCCCTTTTCGAAGCCGTTAATGAAGATGCTGAAAATACGGGTAATAGTTCAACTGAAGAAAGAGGTTATGAAGCAAAGAATAATGTTTTACCAGAGCCAAAACAATCTTTAAAAATGAGTTACGCTGATAGATATGCCAATAATGTGGACCTTGTAGATGAAGAAATTCCAAAAAACGAATTACCAAAATTGCCTTCGTTAAGTAACAAGGCAAATGGATTAGGTATTTATCAAGCTCCAGCAATCGTTGAACCTCACGATGTCTCTGGAAAAACCCCTGATTCATCTAATACATGTGTATTAGATGAAAAAGTTCCAACAAAGAATACTAATCAATTCAAATCAATGATTGTTGAAGACAAGTCCGTTGAAGTTGTAAATACTGAACCAGAAAATGTTGAAGAAGAGACTGTAAGAAAAGCTCCCCAACGACCACAAAAGCAAGAACTTTCTATCCCTAAACAAAGAGAAGAAAATAATGATGAGAAGAGGAAAAAGTCTTCTTCAAGTATGTCCTTCTTCAGGAAATTTTCAAACAGTAATGAAGAGTATGTGCAAATCCTATATGCCACTGTATCCCAAAAACAGATGTTTGACGGTTTGCAACATCTATTACGTGGTTGGACAAAATATGGTTTAAAAGGTGTGAAAACAAATCCCCGTAACTCTTCTATTAGCGGTAAATTGGCGAATGATAATATTCTTTCTCTACGTTCGACAGTTTTCGAAATTGCTGTAACACAACGTGGTAAGGACAGTTGCATAACGATTGCTAAGAAGTCAGGTTCTACTAAGGCAGTTAAAAGGTTGTCATCTGAAATTGAAAAGGTATTAAAGAAAGAAAACGTCTTGCACGCAGATTAAATACCAGAATAAAGAGATATTTGTATCATTTTTTGTATTCTACAGGGTGATATAAAGTTGTAACATTGGACATTTCAAATTTTATATATTGCTATATAAAAGCTATATGTATATACACATTTATAATATAAATTAAAAAAAAAAGTATACCCAACATAAAATAAATAAGTTATTTCGATAAGCACACCTTTTTGCAGCTGATAGTAATTTTTTGCATCCAGCTAGGTGGTATATATTGTCAATTCTACTCCTAGTATTCAGATAGATTAAAATACAATAATATATTATATGTTAAATTAAAATCATCATTAGAGAAATGTACTTAAGTGCGTTATACTTCAATTATGTGCTATATGGGATAACCGATTAAATCTCTTAGAATTTAAAACGCCAAGTTGTGTCCTGTTTCCTAATTTCATGTATTTATATATAGAAGCTTCCTTTGGTATATTGTTAAAATCGCAGCTTAATAGTAATAAAAAAAATTTTGAAGAGATACAGTAACCTTTAATAAAAAAATTATCAGAAAATTTTACTAAAATAAAATGATGTAGCCATATATCGAATTCTCAAATATACACTATTATCCTCATCTTAAAATAGCACTATTTAGAATAGTTCAAAAAATAATGGGGCATACTGGGAATTGAACCCAGGGCCTCTCACATATTCGAGTAAAATACCCAAAGCGAGAATCATACCACTAGACCACACGCCCTATTAATTTATGGGTTGTTGTATTGGAATCTCAAATGTTTAAAGACAAATCTATAACAGATGGTTATATTTTTTGTTAAAATTTTATCCCTAAGTGACAGAAATTATGTGAAATCAAGATATCTAAGTGTTTAATATGTAGCGGCAGCACTAAAAAGGCTAACATTGTTAAACAGAGTTGCTGTTGTTAAACTGCTCATCTTTTGTGCATAGTAACGCTGGACTATGTAGCTCCAATAAACCCAATGTAGGGGGAACGAATACTACATTATGCAGTATATATCATGTGTTATTATATATACGACAGTGCAGCACACTCTAAATTCTACTTATATTAGCTACCTTCACCTTCAGTTAGGTAAAGCTAATGTTAGCCTTTTTAGTGCTGCCGCTACATATTCAACAAACATTAGCTTTACCTAACTGAAGGTGAAGGTAGCTAATATAAGTAGAATTTAGAGTGTGCTGCACTGTCGTATATATAATAACACATGATATATACTGCATAATGTAGTATTCGTTCCCCCTACATTGGGTTTATTGGAGCTACATAGTCCAACGTTACTATGCACAAAAGATGAGCAGTTTAACAACAGCAACTCTGTTTAACATAGACTGCTTTTCTTTCCCAAAAGTATAAAAGGAACACATATTCTAACTTTATATATATACAATCTTCCTTATATAGACTTACTTTATATAACATAAAATAAACCACAAGATTATACATTTGAATATCTATAACTATGTCCGATAATTTCAACTCGAATACTAATCGTATATTCTCGATTTCAAACTTACGTTTACAACACTTAATTTCAATAGGTAAAGAACTACCTTTAAGCACAGTTATTATGAAGCGTGTTAAAATATGAAACAAAATATGTGGCAACATGAAACAAAGTTAATCGCATTATGAAACAAAACATAATTCGAACCTCAATTGAGATTAGAATAAAAATATATATAAAGACAAAGAATTCTGAACTTGCATTCGAAGTTAGATTCTATTTGTTCTATTTGTTCTATAAATTATATATAATATAAAGAGACTGATCGATTATCGTATTAAAAAATGTCCGAATTAAATAAAGTAAAGCTTGAAGAGACTAATAGAGGCAAACACTCTATCTCTGATGGGAAAATTGAATATTAGACATCTTCTATTTAACTGAACAAATTTTATTATATTACAAAATCAACTTATAGTCGTCTGATTTTTTATATCTTATACAAAAATATATAAAGTAAATTATGGAAACAATTATATTCATAAATGAAATATTGTTCCATTTATATATGTTGGATTATCATTGTCGTGATTATAAACTCACTCGACAGTGGCGTAAGTAATCTATTATTAAGTTGTTGCGGGATGAACCTATTGTTAGATCATTGCGGGATGAACCTATTGTTAGATCATTGCGGGATGAACCTATCGTTAGATCATTGCGGGATGAATCTATCAATAGATCATAACCTTGGTCATTATCCCTCTTATAATATATTTCCGACATACCACCCATAATGACTAAGTTTATAAGATCCAATTTTTTGTCAGATGGTTAAAGTCTTTCACTTGTACTGGCTTTGTCAAAATATCAGCTATGTTATCTTTTGTGTTGATGTATTGAATGGAGATATTATCCATTTTTATTTCTTCTTTTGCTCGTAACAATCTTGTGGTGAAAAATTTTGACTTCAGTTTAGAGCCATCAATATTTGTGAAAGATGATATACTTGGCTTACTGTCCGTTATAATTTCCTTTGTAACTTTCTTATTGTCAATCTTTTCTACCAGTAGTTCAATGATCGAAATCTTTGGAATTGCTTCACTGATAGCATATATTTCCGCTTCAGTTGAAGATGTACATGTTAAAGTACTTCTAGTCGATTTAGCACCTATTAGATTTCCATTGAGAAATATCATGTTACCGTATTGAGACTTGTGTTGCGGTTGTGACCCGAACGCTGCGTCTGTAACAGCTGTTAATTGATTAACATCGGTGTTTGTAGTATTTTTGTACCAAGTTAACTTTTTTCTTCTAGTGCACCACATATATTGTACCAATTGTTTGGCCAAATCCATCACTTCTTTTGATGGATACAATGTAAATCTTGCCATTATATTCACATAATATAATAGATCAAATCTGTACTTATAGGCGACATATGATGCCAAACCTATTACCTTTTGCATCCATTTTACTTTTTGTTTATATTCGGATTTGGTGACAACAAACTTTTGTTCCGTTGGTATTTTTCCTGGTGTACCTGGTACATTTCTTATTTTGTCTAGATTAACATTTAGTTTTGGTAATTTATCTTCTAGACCCTTTTCCATTCCGAATTTCATGAAGTTGTTTTTTGAGTATTCAATCTGTAATCCTAAGATATCATATTTGTTGGTATTTGGGTTACTCCCATCGTTTACAATCTTTGTATCGAATTGAGATTTTAATGTAGTTATAATTCTTTCAGCGAAAGTTCTATCATTTGTGAATAGTATAATATCGTCAACAAATAGGCATAGTATAATTTGTTTCTTTCCTTCTTTCCTAGTAAATACGCATGTCCAGCCTAACAGTTCTGTCATACCGCATTTTTTTATCAGGAAGTTCTTTATTAGTTTATACCAGTTAGCTCCTGATTGCTTAAGACCATATAGGGATTGTTGTAATTTGAACACCTTATTATTCAGTCCCATATGGGGCGGTGCTTTGATGTACAACTCCTCTTCAAGTTTGGCATAAAGGTAAGCAGAGCTAATATCCAGTTGAATGATATCAAAATTATTAGATAGGCAATTTGATAAGCATGTCATTAGAGCATAATGGTGGACAGTATTGGCCACTAGTTCTGGGCTGTACGTAGATTCTTTTTGAAGATCGCCTCTAGCAACTAATCTGCACTTGTGTTTACCATCTCTTTTTACTGTAAAAATGAACATAGAGCTTATAATATTTTTTGGATTTACCGTTGAGGCGTCGATTGGTGTTGTGTTCCAAGTATTCATTTTGTTCAACTGTGTAATTTCCTTTTCATATGCTTCTTCATACAGTTTCTTTTCCACTGGATTTTCATTATATGTAATTGCTTTATTGTAGTATACTGCAGTGGATAATGGATTAACGTTTATTGCATTTATCATCTTTTTGTTACCTTTGATAGCTTTGATAAAATTAACTGAATGTTTTTGTTTCTTGTATGATGGATCCTTCCTACCAATTCCATCTTTATTAGTTTCTTCATTTTCATCATTATAGGACCTTGTCCTTTTACGATTTAGTAACACTTTTTCGTCATCTTGTAATATACCATAATTAATACCACCCGAATTGGTAGAAGATTCAGAATCATGAGAAAGATTTTCATTTTCAATTGGTGAGCTTTCGATAACTTCGTCTCGTAATTCATCTGAAGAGATCTCTTTATTGATTGTATCAGGGTTCTCGATGGATTCTAAAAATTCGTCTAGATCGGATTGTAAGTCATAGGATGGTTCTAATATTTCAGGGATCGCTTGAGGGGCTAAAATAGGAGGATCATCTCGGATTGGGATAGAAGTATCAATATCTTCATGACTGGAATGGTCAATGTCTTCTGGAATAGTAGTAGCAGTGTCTTCCGGAATGGAAGTTTCATTTTCGGTTGGAATATCGGCTGGGGATAAAGCATCAATAATGTCCTTGTCATTTGGTAGATCGTAATGTTCTTCTGATGTAGAAGAGGTATCAGTGTTTTGAATTAGTGTATATTCTTCATTTTTTGTAAATTTATTGATCATATCATCAAATATGTCAGAGTCATATTCCTGGTCATCTTCAATATGTATACCAGCTCTTAGTACAGCAAAATTGGTGCTGTCAACTATTTTATGATCCTTGGGAATATATATCATGTATCCACGAGAATGTGTGGATGGACACAATGCATATCCTTGTTCACCTCTATAGTGAAGTTTAGAGGCAGTTTTTGATAGATGTACAATGACTGGTTGACCAAAACCTAAAATAGTGGTGACATCAAGGGCAG